TTTTTTTTTTTTTTTGTACTGAATTTCGGTGGCTTTTGTGAAATTACTGAATGAATCTTTTCTCCAACTTGTTGCTTGCTTTTGATATTTTTCTTTGTTTTCTAGAATTAATTCAACAGTAATTAGGCATAAAATAAAAGGCAAGATCAAGTAGCTGAAACAAACTATTCTTCTTCTGTATTCTATTCTGCTTTATAACCCTTTTTCTGAGGATTGAAATGTTATATTAATTTTTTTTTTAATGGAATTCACACTTACCTTATGTGCAAAATTAGGAGAAAATGAACTTGCAGGTTGGAAAAGAAGTTGCCATGCAGGTTTTGGTTAATACTTGGACTCAGCAGGCTGTTTCAGAATAGCATAGGAGATACTTAGTCAGGTACTGCATCCTTTGGTTCTGAATACCAGGCTGACTTCTGTTTGCCACTTTTTCTGGATACACTGTTTTCCTAGCTCATGAGGATAGAATAAGTCAGAATATACCTTGAGCCAGGCCAAACAAACTATCCTACAATAAATTTGGACTGATCTAAGAGCAAGTCATGCATATCCCTCTCTTCCCTTTTACTCTTTGCTACTAATTTTGCATAGGTCATGAGATGTAGAAATGCTTTTAGAGAAACAATATGAAATATTAATAGTACACACACTCACTCCCAGTTGTAATCTTTGTCACTAGTTGTGTAATTTTGTGCAATTCACTACTCTGTGGAGTGTGGTGAAAGTGACTATGGAGATGTGCTTCTGGGGTAGAGGATGTTTCTTATAAAGTACTTTGAAATGTGTTTTGGGAACAGCAAACAGCTTGCATAGCATTATATTTTATTATATTTTAAGAATGCAGCTGTTATGAGACCTGATAGTAATCCCAGAAAAGTACTTACGTGTTTTGGGTCTATTATGATTAAAAATACTGAGATGGAAAGAAAAATGATTATTATTTTTATCATATGGCCAGATTCCCTCTAGTTGTGTAGGAGCAAACAAATTTTTCACATGCTAAGCAAATGGCTTGTTGCTTTCATTTGGAAGGTATGTTTTCTATTGTGTGGTAAACACAGCTTAAAATATCTTAATAATTTAGAAGCTCACATGTCAAAGGATATTTCTTTGGAAACATACATTGACCAAAGAGATATGTACAATATTCAAATAAATTCAGCTTATCGTGCTTTTTTTTATTTTTTGTAATGGGAAGAAAAAGTCAGGGGATGAGAGGAAAACTATCCAAATGCCAGTCTATTTTTCTATACTTTTCACCCAACCACTCATACAGAGAAGGTGGGTTTTTTCCAGCTGTTGTGTAATTACTGGTTGGATGGTTAATTATTTTTTTATTGCTTGTGTCTAATAAAAATCCAGATGTAGCTTTTGCTTTGTACTGATACAAAATAGTGAATAATGATATTTAATGGTGTTAAACTTTCAGGTGACTATGGCTTGAGTTTACCTCTTGGAGAAGAATATGAACGAAAAAAGCATAAACTCAAAGAGGAACTTCGACAAGATTACAGGCGATATCTTTCTCAGGTAAAGCTCCTTGTCTGGTTGCTTGGCTTTAGTGAGTCTCTTACAATTATTCTCTCATTTAATTGAATTAATTCAATTCCTGAAGAAAAATTCTTTAAGGAGGCATTCATTATGAGCAATGGCTGATTTTGAAGACCTGAGTGAAAGCAATTACAAAATGTTTTGTTTATATATTTTAAGCTTTTACAGATCTTATTGTCGTGTGACTACATATTATTTAGTACACTTCTTTCTGAATAATTTGCTTATTTGTTTTTGCTTCTTCCTTGTTTTTTTTTTTTTCTTAAGAATATAAAAGCTTCTACATTGTGAAGTACTTAAATATTCTATGGTCTGCAATTGGGGTGAGAATATCCCTGTACTTAGTATGACTCCATTTGACAGCTTCTTTTCAATTTTAGAAAGAAAAAGCTTTGATGTTCTGCTTAACATGATTTACTAAATGTCAGGGTAAATTTAAAATTGAAATGATATGTATGAAATATCATCTTGGGGGTATTCTGTAGCTGCTGTGCATGAATCAGAAGAAAACAAGGAACCAAATAATTTATTTTTTTATGAAAATACTATTTACCAGTGTCTTTAGTTCTTAAAATGAATGAATGGATTTGCTTTAAGAGAGGAAGTATTTTTTGTTAAGTCAAATATTTTTGACTCAAAGACTCCTTTTGAATAGTATCTTTTCCCTGATTTTTAGGGTATTTCACAGGCAAAAAGAAAGGTAGGGTGCCTTCAATATTATTTTCTTTTCTTTCAAATTAGTTGCTTCTTACTTTATTTGAAAACTTTATGCTCTTGGAATTTAAAAAAAATCATTACTTTTATTTGTGCTTTGTGCATTTATGCATGCTATGGTGATTAGTTGTGACTAACAGCATTGCTTGCTTTGTGCAAAATGATTACTTACATGTATTATTTTTCCATTCATAAGTTTTTAAAACACTGTTGATTTGCTTTTCCCTATGCAGTTGCCATTGTTGCTGTCTAATGCGGGCTCTACAATAGTTTTTATTTTCGTAGACATTTGCTTCAAGGATTATCGTTTATAAAGATAGTAAGAGTTCAGATTTTTTTTTCTTGGTGTACATATTTTATAAAGCTGGAATAAAAAAGTAACTTATATAAATATTATAATATATCATTGCAACCAGAGTCAGGGCTTTTTTTTTTCCCTGTCTCTGAAATCTTGTCAGTGGTGCTTAGGGAAGCAGTAGAGCCACCTATTGTCCAGAATGCAAGAATACAGACAGGCATTATGAGGAGAAAATAACACCTCTGGTGTTATTTTTAAAAGCTTTGTTTAATTAATTTTAATTTAAAAAATATTTTTATACTTTTGTGCATTCTACACTTTTAAAATTTAATGCTGTCCATCCAAATTGTTCAGATTGAGCAACATCAGTCAAGGACCAGGAGGTAATGTGGTAGAAACACAATCTGCTATTTTTTTCTGGGGTTTTGAATAACATGTATATGATACAAATTGGGTATGTTAGCATGCATTAGAATTCTTTAATAGCAATAGCAACAGCAGAGCAAACTGTCTTCCTAACCTCTAACAAAATCATCTTTATAGAATTTTTGTTTCTTGTTTCACTTAAAACTCTAGATTATTTTCAAAGTTAGAATATCATGTTAAAACTTAATGTTTCATAATTATCGTCAAAGCACCCAAATAATGTAATTTTTAGATTGTCTTCTAGTGTTTTATTCTCAACTGGACTTCAAAGTTTACAAGGCCTTTTTGTTTGTGTGTTTGGTCTAGTACATGTTAGCTATACTAAGCTGGTAAGGGCTGAGGAAGAACTAATCTCTAATTTCTTTTTCCACCTAAAGAGAACTGGTGGAAATAGAGAATTTTACCAGTTCTCACAGTGGTAATTTTTTTTGTTAATAACTTGCTTAGTCTTGCTTATGTAGAAAAATGCAGCTTCCATATCAGGTTCTGATTTTGGAAAAGATGTTTTTAAGATCAGAGGTAATATCTAGATGTTTTCAAAATGCATGCAAAGAATTATTTAATAATGAGGATTACAATTTATTTACTTTTTCTAGTAGAAATAACTTAGTTTTCCATAGAAATCTAGTTGCCTTGGTGCTTGAATATTTTTGCATGGTTAATAAATCCCTTAAATCTTTTAATATCTAGTTTGAAATATCATTTATAATGATGTGTGTTTGTACTGGAACAGGTAGAGCTGTTACTTCTTGACATTCCTCTAAGCATTTAGGCCACATTGTAACAAAGATCATGAAAAGAAACAATACTGTATCTCACCATTTCCCTCTTCACCCGATGACACACAAGTAGATGATCTTTTTATTAAAGATAATCAGATTTACAAAACATATGATTGACTGGGAATGGCCTGGGGATGCTTTTAATAAAGTAGTGATGTATGACAAATCCTCTAGACCTGGAATCTAAAGACCTGCATCAGTGCTGGTATTTGGTTTGAAGAGCAGGTACTTTGACTTGCTGCACAGCCCACGTCCCATGCTGCAGTCCAGGGATCTGTGTGGAGCAACAACATACTTGTTTTGATGTGAGATTCTGCTCTAAAAGTGACTGGTGATCCATGAGGAATTAGAAGATTTGGTGGTGGGTTGTTATCCTGAAAAATTTGAGCACTGCTAGTATGGAAAACACTGTTGAGATAGAGGTGTGCTACTGTACGCATGAATTCCATCTGTTAAAGTAAGAGGTAGACATATATTTTCTGCTGTTAGAAAAAACAGTTTTTCATCTTGAGTAAAGAAATGTCTCGGAAGATTCCTCTTATGTTTGTACAGACACTTGTGCTTATGCTACAGAAGAAATGGGTGGGGTTTCTTTGAATAAAAATAGAGTTTTTTAATATAGAGACTAACTTATACTGGAAGTAATGTAACTTGGAAGAAGTGACAAGCACTTTCAAACTCAAGTTTAATATTTGACAAAGACATTTACTCCCTGCATTCCTTGACTTCACTTCCTTCATGTGTTCCAGGAACATCCTACATATTCAGAATGTGAAGGTTGTCTTCAGTCTTTACTTCATCAAATTGCTCAAATTACTTCAGAAAATATAATACCTAACAACTGTTTAATGAGTAAGATTTGATCTTTTAAAGTCTATTGAATGGTTTAAATTTTTTTTTTTTAATGTAGAAAAATTGCCTCACTGCTGGTGAAGTAGATCCACGTACTCAGGGATTATCTCTTCCTATTGATGAACGAAAATCTGCCAAGGTAAATATATGAAGGAAATTAAGTAAATGGAGTATAACTTGAAATGTGTCTGGCTGTTAAAATTGTTACGGAAAAAATATTTCCACTTAAATTTTTTTGTTTGGTTGGTTTTTTAATTTTTTTTCTTACAGAAATAAATGTTTTTGGAGGTGGTAATTAGTAAAAATTTTCAGGAAAGTCTGTTCCTTCAATTTTTATTTTTTAAAATTTTTAATCCTAGGTTACCTGTATTCTTAAATTTTAGATATTTGGGTTTTATTATGTAGATATAATTCTGTGCTGATACTAGTTTCAGGTTTGCTACCTCTGATCCACACATTCAGAGCACTTGATCTGTTCAAAACCTCTAGTGGTTGTGCTTGGGTTTTGTTCAGCAGTCACTATTGATCTGATCTCCTGCCCTCATGCTGTTGGCCTTATAGTTCCAGTTTATTTCTTGTGTTTGCTTGTAAATTGATCCATGAAGTTGAATCAGCAGAAACATTGTAATTTATCAATATTTTTTTCTGACAAACACCACTGGTTGATTGTTACGATTGGTCATAGCACAGTGGAGATTCAAGGCAATAAGATAACCTGTGGTGCTGGAGGAGGACCAGACATTTGCACTCCCAGGGGTTTTGTTGGTTTTTGGTTTTGTTTTTAACCTTTGCTGCCTTCAAGTGGCATTGTTGATCTGTGTTTGGGGCTATGCTGTCACTGCAATCTGGTGCAAGAGTTCATGGGTTGGCCTTGCCCTTGTGCCTAAACTTTCTGCCCCTCTTGTGCTCTTGGCTTGGCTGTAGGAGGAGCCAGGTGAGACCTCAAAGTAAAAATTGCTTTTATGAGAAAATCCAAAACTCCAAGTTATAGAACTGTAAAACGGAGGCAGCAAGAATGAAATGCCCGGGAAGGCGGAAAGGACTCCTCAGGGGCAGCATGCACTTGCACTGAGTTTGTTAGCTTCAGGTTCTCATGAACATACCATGCAAGTGTGTGTGCTGAAATAGTGAAAAACAAGGTATGTTTGATTAATTCTGTGAAGATGTATTTTTACTGGAAACACGTCTTATCATTGATGGGTTTATATCATATCAGCTCTTTGCAGGTGTGTTGTATCCTTTTAATTCATCTGTTTCCCTTGCAGAACCTAAAAGTTGCCAGGAGATGTCACACTGTTCCCTGTTAATCAGTTGGCCTCTCAGCAGAATAATGAGAGATTAACATTTGCATTTTGGTTTCCTTTATTAGGTCAAATGTGCAGTCACATAGCATATTGACTTTTCTGCTGTTTTGCCACCTCTTAAAGACAGTGCTGGTTTCTCAGCTTTGAAAAATGCATCTCAGGCAGCTTTCATGGCTGTCTGCATGTTTTATAGTCAGTTAGAAAACCTATAGGAAACTATTTTTTTTGGGAAAAAACCCTAAAAGATGAAGCAGTTTTGGAGAGGATTAGTCTAATCTACAGAACTTTTGGTAATCTGGTATTTACGTGGTGATTGAGGTATAAATTATTTTTGGTTGATATTTGTTCATGAGAAAGTAAATTTATGTGTGATGCTCAGATTTTTAAAACACTTTTGCTTTTTTACTGAAAAATGCTGCAGTGGAAAAGACTCTGGTTCATAATACTCTAGTATAATTCTCTTTTTTTCCTTTATAGGATTGATGCAACAAGGTAGTATAAAAGATACCCCATGCTCTAAGCAGGGACTAATAAAGAAGTAATTCATATTAGAGTTTGCTTTATCTGGGGATTTTTGTATTTCATATTATATTATTAGGCTGTTGATGTACAGTTCATCTATATTTTAGACCTGAGAAAGCAGATTATAAATGCTATCAGGTTGCAAAAGCTGCTGGGACAACAAGCACAGATCCCGTTTTTCTTGGTTTTTCTTGCATTCTTTGCACTTTTGACTTTTTGCAGTCAGTTTAACTCCTTGTTTGAATTAGACAGTTCAAATTGTAATTGATACATCTTGTCTACCCTTGTATTTGTTATCCTGTTTTAATTGTGAGGGGGCAAGTCACAAATAACCTTAAGACAAAGAAAGAAGTTGTATGTTTGAAATCATATGTTGGAAATCAGCTGTAAATACATTCAAATTGGAAATTAGAAGGTGATTCCTAATTGTTGGAGTGAGGCTTTGGTAAATTTTGGAATAGGCTTAGCAGGAGGAGGCCTGCTTGCTTTTAAAGATGGACCTTGATACACAATAGTGTCTCTGGGGATTAGACTTCATGGCTGAGAAGCTGACTTCTACTTACAGATATCAGATTAAGAGAAAGAGCTATGCTAAGAGAAAATGAACTAAAACCTCAGAGTAATTCAAGCCTTACTTGTACATCACAAAGAATGTGAAGGGGTGGCAAACACACAGTTTGTATTTAGTCATTTAGTACTGCAGTTCTATGAAGCTAAAAGCTACTAAAAATGCAAAATTATGATGCCCTTTTCAATGCCTATTTTAGGAGAGATTACGGCTTGAGAGAAACAAGGAGTACAATCAATATCTCAGGGATAAAGAAGAATGGAATGAAAGGCTAAGGAAATTAGGAAAGAAAAACAGAGAGGTAATACAGTTTTACAGTATTATAATTGACTCAGACATACAAAGTAAGACAAAATACAGAAATAAAGTTGTTCAGTTAGGCTACATTTTATTAATGCATCTAAGCAAATCCTGCTTACAACTGACATGGTGCAGTTCCTGATTTCCTGTTTCCCTCATGTCTGTCTGGTAGGAGGATGCTTTCATTCTTCTGTGTGTCTGAAGGAAATCCCTGGGTTGTTCTTGATAATAAAAGTGATATTCAAAAAAGCCGTCTATGCGAACAAAATGTTAAACTCCACATAGGGTCCTTAGTTTTGTTTGTAGACTCCTTCTTCCTCTGTTATGTAGAAAACCAGGCAACTGTAGAAGCCATACAGAATATGGAGCTGTGCATTTGTGAATAAAAATCAAAAACTCTTTACTACTGAAAGTGAACTAGACATAGTCTAGTTCTGTTCTGAGGCCTTTGATTTGTATGGCAGTAAGCAGCTGGGAACACACACACACACCTCTGTTGGATGGGAGAGAGAATCAGAAGAGTGAGAAGTAGTGTAGGTTGAGTTAAAGACAGTTTAATAGGCCCTGTAGAGTAGAATATCACTTTGGTTAGTTGGGATCATCTATCCTGGTTGTGTCTGTTCCTAACTTCCTGTGTATCTGCAGCCGCCTTGCTGGTGGAGCAGTATAAGAAGCAGAAAAGCCCTTGACACTGTGTTAATGTTTTTCAGTAGGAATTAAATTATTCCTGTGTTATCAGCACTGTTTTCATCACGAATCTAAAACAAAGCCTCATACAAGCTACTATGAAGAAATTTGTCCCAGCCAAAACTAGCACAACAGCCAGTGGGATTTTTAGGTCTGATTAGCATTGTTGTGGGACTCTTTGTTTCAGTAATCTGGAAGCAATATATTGATCTGTAAAATCTTTTTAACTTTGAAATCTTGTCTAGAATACATAAATTTCCTTATAAAAATATTTTTGCATCAGTTTAGTGATGGATTGTAATAATTTGGGACTCTCATCTAGTGAAAGTTTGATTTAAGAAGTCCTTCTGCTTCTTTTTATTAGAGAAATTCTAAAGTATTCTATTCTATATTCTATTACTGTAGTGTGGGAGCTAGGTCATGCTATGGAAGACTATTAGTACCCAAAACAGCACAAAGTTTATTGTCATCCTTCCAGCAGTCAGCAAGTGCATATCCCCCTGTATTTGTAGTTTCTTTCTAGAAGAATGTTTCTTGTCTGTCTCTAGAAAGATTGTTTTCTTACGAGAAACATCTTTTGAGTGCACGGGAGTGTCATATAGTTGAAAACTGCTTTAATCTGTGAAGGCATCTATAAGGCAGCATTCAGGCTTCTTTCAAATGTTGAAATTCAATATCTCATTCTTACTTCATTCTTCAAGATTTGGAGTGCTATACAGCAGTGATCCCTAGGAAACATTGGCAAGAATGTAGCTTATTTTTGTGCAACTGAGTCTATAAATCTCGAAATTTTTTCTACATGTTTGGCACTTAGGTTTCCTAAGCTGACTTACCTAAAGAAATCTATGTAGGGACTCAAGGGTTTTTCTTTTTGCTTTACTTGTCATTCAGTTGTACCTTTAAGTTGGATTTTTATTATTCTTCTGTAGAAACTATTTTACTGTTAGAAAGGAGCAAAGAGAAAAAAAATGGTCAGGATTTGTTGAGGTTATGCCATCCCTGAAGAATATTTAACTTGGAGTGAAAGTCAAATTACATATGTGAGCTCAGAAATTTGATCCAACAGTTTAGATAGTCATAGGATAAATCCTGCTCAGAGTAGTGTTATTTCACTGTTTAGATTAGGCTGGTCTCTCTTTATTTGCTGGAGTTTTGAAAGGATGCTTAATCTTTACTTCTCTCGCTCTGTATCCCATTGGCATTTTCCTTTGCTGCAACTTGTGGCTGTTGGTTCTTTGAAAACCACAAATAAACCACTGGTATCTCTGTAACCACCTTCTACACAGGGACTGCAATTACTAGTTCCTCCTGCAGTTCACCCTCTGCACTTTCTTCAGTTCATCAGTGTCTGTGGGGAGGGGAGGCAGAGACAGGACACTCTACACCAGAGCATAAATACTAGATTAATACTGAGCAGAGAAGGATCACTTGCCTTGACCTGTGCAGACACTGCAGTGTGGTGAGCAGTCATCACTGCAAATGTGCTCTGCTGCCTCGTGTTGAGCTCCTTGCCCATTACTAACCCAGGCCTTTTTCTGCAGAGCTGCTCTCTAGGTGGTCAGTACCCAGTCTGTCCTGGTGCATGGCACTGTTCTGTCTCAGATGCAGAGGTTTGCCTTTGCACTTGTTGATTTTCATGAGCTTTTAGTCAGCATATTTCTCCAGTTTGTGAAGACCCTTCTGAGTGGCAGGCATACCCTCTAGTATATTGATCCTTCTTCCCAGTTTGGTGTCATTTACATCCTTAATTTATTTTTAATTAAACTGTGTAAAGTATGAGTTACTGTTGTCTTTATTTCATAGAGGAAAGATTAGATCAAAGATTAGTACAGAGAAATACTACAGGATTTATGCAAAACCATGGTTTTTGTGAGGACTGTGAATTGAACAGTAGTTCAGAGTGTCATAGGATTGTTTTTTATCTACTTAACTATCCTTTCTCATAATGACATTTCCTGAGGAGCAGAGAAATAGATTAGGAAATGCTCACATTATAAGGTGGTGCTCATAGGTAGGAAGTATTACAGACTTGCCTGAATCTGGATAGAACGAAGATATCTGGTCTCTTGATGAAATAAAGTTTGAAGTGTTTTTTTGTTTCTTTGCACCTCAAAAACTGAAGGTCAGATTGGAGTTCATAAAAGACCTATCCAGTGTTGATAGGCATTCTTTTAAAAGACATTAGATAAGAGGAAGACTGCGTTTTTTTCCCCAGGAAAAATGAATAAAACTCAAGCTTTTAAGCACTTCTTGAAATATTTTCCTTGCTCACCTCTTGCCTTTCTTCTTGTTTCGGGTTTATTTGAAGAAATACAAAACTAAGGTTTTACTCAATGTGATTTGTTGATATTCAACTCTCAATATTGTTTCCATTAAACAGAATGAGATGCACAGGAATAAAACACCTATTGCTGTTACCAGGCTCAAGCCAGAATTACATACAGAAGTCCAGCCCTGTAAAACAGGTGCAGAACCTCCCAAGAAGGATGCTTTTACTTCCACAGAAGGTTGTGAAGAGCTGATAAATAAGAGATGGCTGGAGGAAGACAGGTACCACAGGTTAGATGATGAGGTTGAGTTGAGAAGTCGACTGTTAAATAAAAGACTTGACGAGGATTTGGATGTTCCCAATCGAAGACATCATGGATTTTCTAGCCAATCTGTAATTCCTACTAGGAAGCATCACAGATTTGATGAAGATGGTGATTTTGGTAGAAGATACTACAGACTGGACTATGATCCTGAGACAAATGCAGAAATGGACCCTAGATTTAGATGCGAAAGCACCTATGACAGAAAAACTCCCCGGGGTTTTTATGCTGAAAGGTATTCTTAATTCCATTTTCTCCTTTATTTCTGTAGTGCTTGTTGACAGCCATGGTTTACTCTCTTTAAGTATTAGGGAAGATGCCCACGTGAAAGCAGGATTGTTGTACTTACTTTTGTACTTAGAAAAAGGACCTTTGCAGTAATTTATAAAATTGAATCAGTCCCTAAGACTATACATGTACTAAGAAGCATTTTATATATCATAACAAACAAAGGATACTAGAGAAATTACCCCAGAAGCAGCAGTGTACAATTCATTTTTATGAAGATTGGTTTACCAGAAAACATGCTTGAGAGCAAACCCCTGCATTGAGAACCCAATGTTGCCTCTGTTTCCTTAGTCTGTAATAGTTACAGGAAGTCAGTTTTCAGTTCAGATTACAAAATTGGTTTGAGCTTCAGTTTTTGATACATGTGAGTGTGCATATAAAATGTAAAAGCCTATTTTTAAAAATCCTCTTTTTTACTCCAGGTCTTGCTAAATGACAGGCTTTAAACATATGTGTAGTTGAACCAAATCCTGATGGTTTTAATGGGTGCTAATTTCTGTAATAACTACACAGTTTGAATAAGCATTTATTAAAGCCCAAACCAAACAAAAGAGGGTGTTTTAAATAAATCATTCAGGAGGAAAACTGATATTATGTACTGTTCAGTATTAAATAGTCTTTACTGTGTTAACTGATACATCAGTTGGGTTACTTTGACATAAATTGTTAATCTTCTAGTTTACTCATTTAAAAGAAAAAAAAGTATAACCTTCCTAGTCATGGCCACTTTTAGTTATTCCATTGCAAGAACTGGTTGCTTTCAAAACCAAATGGGTTGTGGTGTGAAACAGCACCAAACTTGCAACTGATCTGTTTAAGCAGCTAAACAAAACAGTAAAGTTTATTGTAAATAAATTTTCAAATGATATTTTAAAAGTATTAATTTGTTCCCTTTCCAGGTCTTGGGAACATGAGTGTTGTAGTTATTTTTATTTGTCTTAAGCCTGTTGCCAGAATTATTTTCCTGCAATTGCTTCAATGAAGGAACCACCAATGTTCTTCCTTTGCAAGGCAAAATAAGCACTTTTTCTTTTTTCTAGAATTAGCACTTCTAGGAAAAACAAAAGCAAATTGTACCACTCTCAACAGTTGAATATTACATTATGTTTTGTTGTTAGTTGCTGGTGGATGGGTTAAGTAATCTTTCGAGTCATTGTTTACAGGGATCATTTTCTGGATAGTATTGCAAATTAATAACTGGGGGGAGGGGAAATGCTCTTTTACTGTAAAAGCATTTTCTGAATTCAGTGAACTCGTATTTCTTTTCCAGTTTCAGATGCCCAGAGAGTTAGAATAATTTTTCTCCAAAAATAGCTCTTGATACTCTTTCTCAGCCTTAAAAAAAAGTAATCGTAAAGGAAGTAAGTCTGTGGAAAAAGTGAAATGTCTGGAAGTATTTAGGAGAGGCAGACTCTAATAAATGGGTTATTACAAAGTTTCAGACTGTGTGTTATGGTGTGCTTCTAAAAAAGTGTGTATTTACTCATACAGTGTTTTTGAAAAATACTAGCAAATGGAAAGAGTGATTAAATAGATGAGAGGAACAAGATTGCCTGTTTTTGCTGAGATTCAGAGAATAGACTGCAAAATTCAGAATTTGTTCCATTCTGTAATGTATTATCAGTAGAAAAGAGCAGATGAGGTTTTGGGATAGAGTGGATTTCTCCTATAGCTTTTCAGAAAGAAAAAATAATTAGAAGCTTAATTTGATGTCTAACAAAGGCAACCAAAATATTGTTAAAACTAACAGCAATATTTAATTCTCTGTGTTGGTTGATACTCAGAAGGATGCATGTCCTCTTTTTACTAGGTAGCTGTTTGCCACTGTCTAAGGCAGTTGGACACAGAGTCTAATATTTAAATAAAAGTAACCATTTGATGATTTTTGAGCATTTACTTTGTTTCTCTAGGAATTTATACAGAATTATAGAAATAAAGTATCAGCAAATATGGTGTTTGAACCAACAGTAGACATGTTAAATATTAATAAACTAGTCTATTTTAGTTAATCCAGATGACATGGATGGTGCTTATATAAATATCTGTGACTAATATATCACCAGGCAAATAATGAGTTATTTAGAGAGACCTCTGAAACTGCTTTATCTTGTTTTCTTTTAAAAGAGAATAGAGAAGAGAGTCTTATCTTTGCTGTTGGCAGACTTGGTGCATCTTCTTAAAAGAAGCTGCTGGACCACTACCCGAATTCCCTGAACTTAATTTTTATATATAGGATTGTTTGGGGTATTTTGTGTGTATTTTCTACTAATGAATTTTTATTGAAAAATAATGTTCAATATTTCTTTGTTAAATGTGTTTTTTAATCTAGTACTTTTTTCTCCTTTGAAAGGAACTCCACTTATCCTATGAAGTAAATTCAGTCTCTTCAAGGAGAAACATATCTCTTAGTGACAGCTAAGCTTCTGAAGAGTTAGCATTTTTTTTCTATGTTTCAGGCAAAGTCAACTTTTCCCAAACACATTTGATTCGTGATGGAAACCAAATTCAAAAGGAGGCATATTTTTATTTGTTCTACTAAAGTTCTTAGGTTTTTGTATGGGGTTTATTAGTTTGGAGAGGCAGATGATCACAACAGGACTTTTCAGAAGTGTTTCTGTTTTGGTGGAGGCACAAGGTCTGTGGCATACTTCAACAAACAGAAATAGTGATTGGGAAGTGAGAAGAATTGCAAAATGTTTTAGTTCTTAGGAGTGGAATGTCCATCCCCAGCTGGCAGGTCTGTCCTGTAAACAGGAGACAACAGCTCCTTGATTGAATTGAGCCAACATGTCTGGGCCTGCCATGCAAAGCCGGCTGCTTTTTACAAAAAAGGTTGCCTCTTGAATTCTGAGGTTTGTTTTTTTTTGCTTCCTTCCTGTATCCTTTCATTACACTGGGGACTTGGCTTTCTATTTCCTGGCTGTGTTTCAGTCTTATGTGACCAGCCTTGTAAAGAATAAATTGTTTGTTGTCATAGAAATTAACTTGATAATGAAAGAAGATCATGTTATGCCAAGAGGGTAAATATTCTTTCATGTTTTTCTGATGGGTTGCTAAGATGCCAGATCAATGTTTAATAATCTGCTTGCATCCTTTTGCCTTTGATAACTGACTTCTATTTAAATTAGAGATAGGCAGAACTGTGGTTCTTTTTATGTAAAAGAATGAGGTTTTTTTTTCCGTGTTTACCTAGTTTTTGGGGTTTTTTTTGGTTTGCTTAATAGGAAGGCCATAGTTCTGTCCAGCTCTGGAAAAAGTATAATTTTGATAACATTTGTTGGGTACTTTATTTTTCATTGGATACTTATTTTTGCCCTATTTTATCATGATAACTCAAAATCCTCATTACAGAGCTGTTATTTTGCAGGTCAAGAAAAACTTAAATTCTACTACCCCAGATCTTTTCAGGAACAGCTCCCTTGTGTCCATAAAATACTTTGCATCTCTGAAGTTACTTAAAGTTTCAGTCATATGATTTCACTTCTTATGTAGATGACTCAAATTTTAGCTCCTGAATTTTTGTATTCATGGTGTTGCCTGTCTTTTGCCTTGAATGAAAGTCATCTCACCCTGCTAAAGTCTATCAGGTGTGTAGTGAAGTGTAGATTATCATTGAAGAAGCTTTTCATATCTGAATTGGCTGTTTCACCAGATTTACCCGATAGCTGTGTGCCAAAACCTGTTGAAGACTGTTGGCTCCTGGCGATTAAGAGCAGCAAGATCTATTTCAGTTAATGCGGTGTGAGTTTCAAAAGCCCTTTAGCTCTCAAAACCCTTAACCAGGCTCATTAGATAAGGGGTGCAGGAAAGCAGGCTTGGGAATTCACATTCCAGGCAGAGAGCTGCCCTGACAGTGCTGGCAAAGTGAATTGTTTTAGAATATTTTGTGATACTTTCAGAATTGGTTCTGCTGTCCAGTGTGCATTCAGGCAGCAAATCCATTTGCACAAAACTGCTGAACCTTCTATTTCAGATTGGCTGTTTCTAGGCAAGCATAGCTGAGTATTTTCTATTTCTTTAAGGCCCTTTCTGAATGGAATGGTAAGAGATGTACCTGCAGATTATGAAGACGAATTAAAGGAGAGAGCACGTGTGCGGCCATTCTCAAGAACTGGAGATTCTAGGTGTGGTATACTGTGTACTTTTCTGGTTATTGCGCTACAAAATCATGGTGAGAGGAAAATGCTGACTTCAAATCCCAAAACACTGTCTGAAATACCCAATAATTTTTCCTGCAGCAAGAATATAGTATAACAAAAAACCCCATGTTTCCTCTGAAAATGGCCATTGAAGCTTGTATGCCAGTTTTGTTTTTTTCATTAATAGAGCACCTATTCTCCACCTGGTGACTTATTGAGTCAAATACTGTGGAATCCTGTTTTCATAGCAGTTTTAAAATTCCTTTTCTTCCTCTTGTCTTGGTTTTGCATATCCTGAAATGATCTAAGTGGGTGAGGCAGAAGCAGAACACTTGTAAATTCTTTGCGTAAACTCTTGACTGGCACCATTCAGTCTGTCAACATGGGTGAAGTGCTCAACTGAGTCAGTTTTTCTGATGGCTTCAGAAACCACAGGCAAATGGGAATTGTGAGAAATGCCTTTTTGCCAGGCATTTTTTTCTTTTGCTTGGGGTATTTCTTTGGATTGTAGGAAAACTGTCACGAATGTGTCACATAGTGATGTGAGTCTGTTATGTTTCCCACAGACTGTGTAGGGAAATTCTTGAGTTTGATCATTACATTTTTTTTTTGTCTTTGCCAGAAATCAGGTACAGATTAGTTCTTCAGCTAATGAGCAGGCCAAGTCTGCAGCTGAACGGCGGTATGCAACAGGCCTTGTTCTTGGTATGTATAAAAACCTAACTAATAACAGTGAGTTAGATTTTCTTTGCATATATTATTTCTCCATGTGAATAGTTAAAAAATAGAAAAATGATGTTTTTTTCTTTTTGCCAGTTGTCTCCAAGACTGGTAAATAAGTGTTATTTACATAGGGAAATTAAAGCAAAGCATATATTTCTCTTCCCCCTTAATGTAACTTGCGAATTAATTTTGGACATACTAATTCATTTTTGAAGAGCCCAAGTTTCTTCTTAGATTTCATTAACATTTTAAGGCCCAAATAAGTGATTAAATTATTTTTACAAAATGAAGTATGGGGAAATCTTAACCTCTGTGTTGTTAAAGACACAGCTTATAGTGAATTTTAATTGCGGAAATATGGAAAATGGTACTGTTCACTACCCTGGGTGAGAACAAATGAGTCTGATTATCTCTCCTGTAGCCATAAAATTTAGCAGGAAGCACTAATATTGAGTGGAATAGAGAGAAATACTGGTGAAGACAGCATTCTTAGCTGAATTCAGAAAACTATAAGGCAAGAATAAAAGAATTGTAGTAGTTCTTCACATGGGAGCTTTTGAAGGCAAGCTAGTTTTTAATTATGGCAAAATAGATTAACAGTTGTCAGAATAATTTCTGTTAATTTTTTCATTTGAATTTACTTGGTCTTCAAAGCTATATGTGGCAGATCAATTTTTTGGGACTGTTTAAAGGCAACATGAAACCAGTGGTGTCATAGTGGTTACTCTCTTATCTGCCCAGTCATCTCATTTGTAGTAACCTGGGGACACAGAGGTGTGAATTTGTACTCCTAGGAGTCCTGGTTAGAAGAGTGTTGTAAACTATGTTGTATAAAGATTAACTAAATTAAAACCTGAATTTTTTGAAAATGAAAAGTGATTTCAGACTCCACCAAACTCACAAACCATGAGGTTATTTTGCAAATTTTGGTCACTTTGTAGGCCCAACACAGCAGTTAAAAGAAGAAAATCAGTCAGTCATGCATCAGGTTTTCTTGGTGTTGCTTATTTGGCTTTTGATTTAGGTTTTTTTTCCATCTTCCTTCTCTTTATTATTCAGGTTTACTTTACCAGAAGTCAACAGTCGCTTTGTGTATGGAATATGTTGAGTCTGTGTCTCAAAGTCATACAATACAGAAAGTGCTGCTGACGTTTTTTGGTGTTTGTTTTTAAAATAATAGAGGACTGCCACACTTATTGTGGGAGAACCACCAGAAACTGAAAGTTTTTTGTGTTTCTTAAAATCTACATGAGCTGTTATCACCATTTCCTTTTACATACAGGCATCTGTGGGTACTTTGCTAATTCTTAGTAGTCATGGGAACCATCCTAAGAGTGGAGCAATTTGCTTTCCTTCCCATGGGTTTGACTCCTCTCAGTTTCAGTTTTTCATTTTTATCCAGAGCAGTGCCTCATAATTCAGGAATGCTGTAGTCTGTCTTCCTTAGGTGAACATTAGGCAAAAAAAAAACCCCAAACCAAACCAAAAAAACCCCAAAATAAAACCAAAACATTAAGTTACTTTTGTTAGTTACTGTTGTGTCAAATAACTTTGAAATTTGTAGCTTCCTGACTATAGAAAACCAGGCAAACTAAGAAAATAACAATGAAAATTTTAGTAGTTTTGATCATCATACTCCAAACAAATTGTCTCTTAAAACTAGGTATCTATTTTTTAGTCAGTAAAGACTGAATGTTCATATGGTTTGCAGTGTTTCCGTTTTCAAATTGAAAGGCAGTGTTTTTGTCCAGTGCCTTATCTGTATTTTGTGGAGCATTCACACAAATGTGTGGTCATTTCCATTAGGTGGTCAGGACCGAGAACTTCTCCGAAGAAGAAAGGAGAAATACAGACAAGAACTAATGGAACAGATTGCTGAGCAACAGCGAAATAAGAGACGGTAATGGAAGGTTACTATATTTTTAAGAGATAATGGCTGAAATTTAAAGGCATTCCATTAATTCAGTGTGGTAAGAAGCAATTTCATAACTAAGGGATTCCAGGTAGCTGAGTAATATTGCAGTTAATTAAACTTATCGTCATGAGGGCTTTAGTTTTTAATGAACATATTCACAAGCTTTCAGTGGAATGAAGAAAACCCAGATACTTTTTCATTTTTAAAACTGACTTTTTAGTTTCTTAAGGGTAAAGAAGCTTTAACTAAAGTTATCTTTTTTTCCTGGTACAGGAGTGCCTAAGTAGTTGGCCAAGTTGAAAATTAGTTTTGTTTTTGCCCTCCACTTTTAGAAAGTAACTGTTCATTTTTAAAGCGTTTGATCATCTGGCTTATGCAGAATAATAAAATATTAGTTTCTTCCTTACCTATTAGTCACTGCCTACTGAATGGGTAATGTCTAGATACACAGCAATATTAGAGAAGGGATAAGGAATTAAAAATCAAGTTACTACTGGCAGTCTCATTGTGACAAAAATTGTACATGCAGAACAAGCCTGAGCCCAGAAATTACAAAACAGTATTTACTGCTTCACTTTTGAATCATTCATTTCAATGTGTTTAATGTTAACTTCTTGAATGTGAATAAAGACAAATTTTTTAGGAATGTCCTGAAAAGTTGTAGTAAAAAAGAATTGTGGTGTTTTCTCCTTTTATGGTAGTTGGATTTTAATGTGTGAAATAGGTGATAGCCAGATACTTCCTTAGAGTTCTGTGTATTTACAAGTATTATATAATTTTCTCCCCTGACTCCAGAAGAAATCAAGTGGAATCATTGTCTTTTGTTACCCTGTATTTTCAGAGTTCTTTTAACTACAGAATTGTAAATTTGTGATTTGAAAGAATGAATATAGTTGCTATTTCTTTCTGATTTGATCCTTTTTTTTAAAAAAACCAAAACAGTGAGAAGGAACTTGAGCTCTCGGTTGCTGCTTCTGGAGCTCAAGACCCAGAAAAGAAGGTAAGAAATTTGGATTTTCTTTCATCTATATAGCCTAGTATTTTTTTCCTTACATGCAGACTCTGGTTGCTCAGTCACAAAATGAGAAATGTTGGGCTATTTAATAGGGCATCAGTGTATAACAAAATTGAAGCCAAGGATGATGAGGCTGTGTCATGGTTTAATGCCAGCCAGCAGCCAAGCCTCACGAGCGGCTGCTCGCTCACTTCTCCACCAGTGGGATCAGGGCAAGAATACAAAAGGTAAAAGCTGGAAAACTCATGGGTTAAGATGATGACACTTAAACAGGGAAAGCAAAGCTGCACACATCAGCAAAGCAAAACAAGGAATTAATTCAGAGCTATCCATGGGCAAGCAGACATTCAGCCATCACACGTCTTGGGAAGATAAACAACATCCCTCCAAACATCTTCCCCTTCCTGCTTCTTCCCCCCACTTTATATACTGAGCATGATGTCCTCTGGCCTGGAATATCACTTTGGTTATTTGGGGCTGTCTGTCCCAGCTGTGTCTCCTCCCAGCCCCCCCCAGTCACACCCAGTCCCCTCACCAGTGTGGCAGAAGAAAAAGCAGAAAAGGCCTTGGCTCTGTGTAAGCCCTACTCAGCAATAACAAAAACATCTCTTTATTATCAGCTCTGTGTTCAGCACAAATCCAAAACACAGCCCCACATCAGCCACTCTGAAGAAAATTAACTCCTCCCCAGCCAAAGGCAGCACAGGCTGTAAGTCATTACACATGCTTTCAGCATAAGAGGAAAATATTTTCATGGAAGTTATCAAATATTTTGCTGTGGCAAAATGGAAAATGGACAGAAAGGATAGAACTTAGTGTCCAGTGGTAACCTCTTAAATGCACACAGTAGTGTGCATATCTTTGGGAATGCAAAGTATGCTGCAGAAAGCTTTTTCTCAATTAAAAAAAAAAAGATTTTTTTGCAGATGAGTTGATCTCATTATAACAGTTTTTAATTCAGCATTTGTAAATTTTTAAGTGATCCAATATAGTGTTTAGGATTGCAAGCATTTTTATAGGATTTTGTAAAAAGCAAGATGTTTGGTATGTTGTTTGTAAGACTTAATGCAGAGTTACTACTGTCTCCACTTCTTTAGTAAGGTGATAATTACATTAAGAGTTTTGATTAGCATGCATCCAGGAGTAGGTCATCAGCACTAGTAACATAGGAGACTGATAGTCTTGCAGAGGCTGACAGAACTTGTGTGATTTACATGTACTTGCTTTGCTATGTGCTCAAAGCCATTGCAGGTTAGGTATGGTGGTGATGTGCTGTTTAAGATGTAGAGTTGTACTTTCAAGCAAGAATAGACTGGTTATTAAATTAACTGGTTACTGGTTTAAATTATCACCAGTGCGGTTTTTGGGGAATGCTTTGACACAGATTGAAACTTGTGCCATTTTTGCAGGGTTCAGTAGAGGTGAAAGAAGGTCCTCTTTGCTAGAAAACGAAGGTGAATGAATAGCTGTAAAATGCTGTTAGTCAGATCCTTGTGGGTACCTTCCAGCTCTGAATATTCTGTGAAACCATTTCTTTCTTTGTGTGAAACTTGTGAAACAGAAGACATGAATGCACACAGACAAGGAATTAAGCTGAATCAAAATTCTTACTCCTAAATGGGGAGGGAAGACAACCTGTCTAGTTGCATGTTCCTGCCCTCCCTGCATAAAGTGTCTGCCATGCTTGTTTGGTCCCTGTTTCAAACTGATTCACCTTTTTTACCTAGTAAAATCTGAATATTTTTTGCTGCTTTAGTTGGTATAGAGAGGTCATCTGGCTGATCAGGGATTCAGATATTGAAAGGGAGAGGAATGGAGGGTACTGCTAGGAGGCAGAACTGAGCAGAAGATGCTGGCTCTTCTGACTCAGCAGGCCACAAGGTCAGTGTAAACAGTTCTGTGTAATCAAAGCTGACTATGCAGAAGCACGCTGTGCTGCAGCACTCAATATACCATACACATCTCAGTCAGAGTCTGCAAAGTGCCTGTTGTAGGAACAAAATTATATCTAGAGCAAGTACACGACATGCATAGTGTTTTAAAAGCACTAATTTAGCTGAAAGCCTTCAATTAAGTTGAATTGCTACATTCATTAAGCATCAGTCACTGTTAGCTTTAAATTGCCTCTCAGGGAGAGATTCTAATTAGGTGCATTTCTTGATTAATTACAGGTTGGTTAAATAGCAATGCCTGATTAAGAATCTATAAATGCAGACTGTTGTATATGCTGCTTGTTTAAAGTGAAACAATCCCCAGGATGAACTGAGTACTGAAACCATGTCTGAAATCAGCTGTAGAACTGAAATCTGGGGCACTTTGGGAATGGTTTCAGATTAAAGTTGTTAGTGAGAAAGGCTGTTTTAAATGTTCTGCTGCTCAAGACACTGGATTTGAAAACACAAAAAAATCTGTAGACTGCTTTGTAAAATTAAATTGCTTTAGCTAGTATCTGTTACCTAATTTTGTGTTCACATCTAGAAATCTGAAATTAAATGTTATAAGCAAATACTCATGTCTATTAGATTTTGAGAATTTTTATCTGAACACGTAGTCCTTGATTGGACTGAGTGAGTACTAACTGCCTTGTATATACTGTCTTGCAGCTAAGTGATGAAGAGGTAAAGATTTAATATTCTGTTGAAATATTTCCATATTGTAGGGTAGATGGTTTTCTCATTGATATTTAATGCATAGCTGGTTTTGGGTATTACTTTCTTTGAATGCATGTTAGCTGAAGAACTTCGATATTAGGACGAATAAATTCAGAACAAAATCTGTTGTGCTGTGTATGATTTCTTTTCATTCTTCTATTATATTGCTTTATTTAAACAAACATTAGAATAGTTATGCAGAGCAGTTGCTGTAAGGGCTTTCTGGGTGTGATAGGATAGTTCTGAAACTAACTGACTTGCATGCCTTCCCATTATTTGCATGTTGCTTTTGACTTTCTTCTGAGGTTGCCAGTTGTCAATAAACATTTGCTACTTCTGTTTTTAAAAGAACTCCCCCAAAAAACTTGTAATTGTTGTGGTTGAAAAAAATAATAAGATCAAAGGAATTTAAAAAATAAAATAATGGTATTGCAAGGAAATGTTTACTGGAAAAAGTCTCAGTGTGTATTTGATTTTAGTTTTTGCTGATCATGAGCTATTTCAATCTTGGGGTGGGATTTCAGAAACTTTTCTATGCATAATATGAGAATACTGTCAGTGTAGAAAATTGGCATCTGTAGATAAACTGTTCTACAGACAGCTGTGCAAATGTTCTTTTTTCTGGGCATTAACTATATACTTCCTAAAACCTGTGATAAGGTTGCTTTTTGTAAATCTCTGATAAACTTCCTGGATTTCCTTGTAATACTATATTTCCAGTAGATCATTGGGGGGAAAAAATGCAGTTACTAGAAATCTGAGCAGCTAGTTGGGATCCAGTGAACTATTTAACTCAACGTAAATAGACATTCAGAATATTTCCTAGTAATAAGGTAACTATTTTGGTTTGGGTTTTTTCCTCTCTTTTTCTCTTACTTCTGTTTTTTTTTATCTTCAGCCAAATAGATTGAAGCAGTTTGGCTTAACAGCAAGAGCTTTTGAAGAGAAAGTACCTCCTGAAAGGCCCAGGGTGGCTTTCCAAACTCCAATGCCTGCCCGTTCAGCCTCTCCTGTGAATGAAGACTCTCAAAGTGATAAAGACTTTCAGAGGGGTGTAGTCAGCAGTCTTGGGGAAATGGCAGCTCCCAGGTGCTTCACCATCATATTCATTTTACATGTTAAATAAGATTGTTGTTTAGCATTTTATTACTGCTGAGGTAGAGCTCAGTAGTACTGTTGATCCTTCTCCAATGAACTGATGAAGGTAGAAATAATATTTTGACAATTAACAGAAAACTAACTACTTTGCACTGGAATAAACTTTTAATGTAAATTTCCTCATGGTTTATTTGAAAGCATCTGTGGGGGCTGGATTATCTCTAAAGGCAGATCTTTCATAGTGGATGTTTGTGTAGGATAAAGGTTGAGCTGTAGAAGTTATGTCCTGTAGAAATTGTGCCTGTAATATTGAATCATGTGGGAATGCTTGGGCACATGCCCTGCAGAGTCCATATTTTCAGAAGGTTGGTATGGCTCCTATTAATTAAGCAGTCTCCCAGGGCTGAACTCAGGAATGCACTGTGGCATGGACAGCTTCCACTAGGTGCTGTGATTGTGACTAAACTGTTCAGAGAGAGAAGGAGCTTCAGGCATGTGGCTGAAGCTGTGCTGTTCACCCTTTGATCAGATCCTGCCTTGTTTTCTTTACTGATGTAGCCAGGAAGTACCATTAAGTGAGCCACTTAAAGAAGGCGTGCTTGTTTTATGTTCTTTAGATCTCTGGAATAGTCTGTGTTTCTGTACTATTATTCCCTCAGGGAAGGTTAATTCCCTACTGAGACTTAATGCATCTTGTTCCAGCATGCCACTAATGAGAGGTCTGCAACTGAACTAAATCTAGAATTTTCCCATACTGAACTTTCTTTCTGTCCCCCCTCCCTTCTCTTTCTCTCCCTCTTCTTCTCTCTTCCCCCCACTTCCTTTGATGATGTCTTTTCAGTTGTACAACAAACCAAGGAATTGTGTCCATTTCTTCTTTAAGGCTTGCACCATTGCCACCGCCTCCACCACCAGTTTTGACAGACAACTATAAAACACCTTATGATGATGCTTATTACTTTTATGGCGCTAGGAATCCTTTGGATCCTGCTCTTGCATACTGTAAGTTGATGATTTTAGGTGGATTGGTTGTTAAGGTGATTCATAAGACTTCTTTTAATCTAGTTAAATGATGAATAATGTAGAACTTGTAACAGCAAATTAAACCAATTTTTTAGATGTGTATTGAATTAAAAGGGCTTTTTTTTTAATGTTCTGAATTAAGTAATTTTCTCCAGCAACAAAAAGGGCTGTGACTTCCAGATATCTTGTTCATCACTTGAACAAACTCGTCTCAGATTCTTTGCTGTTACTCCTCTCAGATTATTTTCTTTGTTGAAATTATTAAATTATTGATAATTAAAACATTATGTCCTAAAATCACTTCAATAATAATTAATTACATGTTTAGACATTGTTACAATTTCAGATATAATTATCAATATTTTAAAGATATTTATAAATACATAAAATATATTAAAATAATGTATGAAGTGGTCTACTTTTATATTTTAAGAACTCCTTTTTTCTATCCTTTGCTTCATGATGATTTCATGATTGAAACTATTGTGATGTGTGTAGGGAGAGACTGGATTATGTGGTGTTCGTTTTTCTCTTTTTTCCTATTTTTTTCTTTTTAAGAGAAAAAACCAGAAATACTTAAAATGTTTTTTGTGCTAAAGGTAAAATAAAGGAGAAAAAAAACTTAGAAAAATAACTGCTTTACTAGTTGATCTGAATGACATTTGGAAAGAATGAAGATAAGTATCACCATTAAGCTAGTAATTTCATTTTATTTGATTTTAGAATATGTTAATGAGGTAATTTTTAAAATCTAAAGGGATTTAGTGGAATTTAAGAAATAGATTTGTACCTTGGCATTGTATTTCTTGCTTTAGAGGGCATTAAGGATTATCTGAGTTTGTTATAGAAGCTGAGAGATCTCTTTGTTCTGCTCTCACAGAGTTTTAGCAGTGAAATCTATTCTTTTAAATAATGTCAAATATTTATATCTGAGCATTCAAAATTTAAAATATGGTTTGTTTTTTTTTTACTGTGCAGATAGTACAGATATGATGGGAACACAACCCATGCCTGGTCTGGATCCTTTAGGCCAAGCTCCAATAGAGCAGCCTATGTAAGTATTATCTATATTCATATTCTTTGTGTGTATTTATCTGTATTATTTTATCTGTATTGATATTCTTTTTTATAATCTGTACTATAATCTCTATTATATTCTTTTATCTGTATTCATTTTGTGTGGGTAATATTTTGCTGAGAACAGATAGGCCTTTGAAATAAAATGTGTAAAAGACAACTCTTCAAACTTTTAATTAAGGATTTCTAGCTAGACAATATAAGAATAATTCAATGAATTGCTATTTTCATATGGATTTAAGAAAATGTTTGGGGTTATAAACTGCCAGGCTATGGGAACAACGAACCTTAAATACTTAAGGAAGGATTTTTTTTTTTTTTAATTTCTTAAATTACCTTCCTCTGGACCCTGTGATATTTTCCTTTTATATATGTGATTTTTCAATTTAAAAGTAACATTGGACAGAACCTTAAATACTTAAGGAAGGATTTTTTTTTTTTAATTTCTTAAATTACCTTCCTCTGGACCCTGTGATGTTTTCCTTTTATATATGTGATTTTTCAATTTAAAAGTAACATTGGACAGAGGAATACAGGAGACAGACAAAGAAGCACAGGAGTGTATTCCGAAGAAAAAACAAAGCCTTCCAAAGAGGCAACATTATCTTATCAACAAGAATTACAGCAACAGGTACGGAGTGATAAAGCTTCTGACTCTTGATTCTTTTATTTTTTGACATATAATGGTTATAATTGTAATACTCTTTCAGACCAATTTTATGTAGCTTACAAATAAAAAGCTTTTTACTCTCCTTCCTTTCATGACTTCCTTCCATCACTTCCTTCCTCTGACCCTGCTTTAGCTCATTTTAGCTCTTCAGGTGGACAGTAAGCTCTTCAAATTTTTTGTCAGAGGCAGAGAGAATATTAAGAATGTTACAGCAAATAGATTAGCTCCAGGCATGTAGCTTTATACAATTATTTTCAGACACAGAAGAACTGGCATCTTAAAAGGAATGGCTTGTATTGCTCTGATATTCCATTATTGCTGTAATTATTCAGAGCAGTCTAATTTCCGGAAGTTCTTCATGATCATTTGGGCACTAATTTAAAGGTTTGCCTCATGTTTATTTCCAGTGTGTTTGTAGGTGGTGTCTTACTTCTTAGGTTCTTTTTCGATAGACTAGACAAATTTTTTGGGTCTGCTGTTCCAGTAGACAAGTGAATCCTATACTCACTTTAGTGGCGTTTTGCTGCTCCACCTTGTGGGAGTTTATAATTATAAAATGTATTTGACCATGATGAAACATGTTACTTCTGCAGAAATTTTCCTAGAACCCAGTTCAGGGGCACTTAATGTTTTCTTATTATTTATGTATTTCTTCGGTAGAGGTAAATAATACCTAAAAAAATACTGTAGTTCTAATTATGTTTATGCATAAATGATAAAGGAGAGGCTGCCAACCAAGGTAAAATAAAGAACAGAATAACCATTTAGGAATAATGTCAGATACTATATATGTGGTTCTCTGGAGACATTTTCTCACTATAGTCCTAAGTATTATTTTTCTATGTGAGAGACTGCACAATTTGACATAAAGGTCTAATAAACGTGGCATGATAAAATCTTTCATAGTTATTATGGTTCAAAGCAATCAGAGGATATTCTTCTTTCTGCTATAGATAAACCTGATAATTTTTGTAAACAGTTGAAGTGGCTAGATGGGTCTTTGTTGACTCATTATGTCTCAGGAAATTGTGATTACTTGATAAAGGGAAATTATAGAATCATAGAATGGCCTAGGTTGGAAGGGAGCTTAAAAATCATTTTGTTCCAGCCCCTCTGCCATGGACACCTTCCACTAGATGAGGCTGTGTGATGCCCCATCCAACCTGGCCTTGAACACTTCCAGGGATGGGGCATCCACAGCTTCTCTGGGCAACCTGTTCCAATGCCTCATCATCCTCATACTGTTTTATCTAATTATATTCATCTAATGAAATGTTTTTCTAATGCACATGAGAAATAAACTTAAGAAAAATACAGTAATATATTTCAACTACTTACATAATTGTTTTAAAAGCTTTGAGTAGAAGATGGACTTTTTAACAGCTGTTCACTTTATAAATGCTACACTTATTAGAAGACTTAGTTAAATAAATGATTCTGAAGAAAAAGAACAAAGCATATATAAACATCCTATTTTATATATGTAGATCATAGTGAATTACTGCAGAAAACTATTTTATGCATGATTATAGAATTGTGTAATATTCTGTTAAGACATTTATTATTAGGAGTTATCTCTAGTCTAAGTTTTGGTTAAACAAAATATACCAGATTGAGAGAAGAATGTGCAGTAATATTGTAGAATTTTGCCTTTTTAATTTTCAGGCAGTATAAACATCTGTATCAAAGATCCAAAGACATGGAACTTTTTATCTAGTGCAAATGTCAGATGTGAGCATTTTTGGAACTTGGAAGTCTTACACTCTGTAGGATGTTTCTCCGATTATGGACATGCTCGTTTTGACAATAGAATTCAATGCACTGTCTGCAGTATAGACAGTGAACTGTTTGGATTTGCTTGATGTAGATGAGGGAAATAGATAATGAGAGCATTCAGTTTGCTCTGTTAACATTTTATTAAACTTCTACTTAGTGTGATATTATTGTGGAACTAACTTTGGCTGGTTTGTTTTTAGATAAAAGAGAGAGAAGAGCGACGCAGACAAGAGCGAGAGGAGAAGGAGAAGTTAGACGCAGAAATGAGGAATTACAATCCTTGGGGAAGAGGTGGTGGTGGTGCTCCTCTGAAAGATGCAGAAGGAAATCTAATAAGTATGTTTGTGAAAATTAGGGGTTGGCTTTTCAAGACTGGTATTTTCTTGCTCTCGTAAGGGCTCTATTCAATATTATTCCTTGTTTTGTAACACTGGTAGACCTTCAAAAATAAGACTTACTTGTTTCAAGGAGATGCACTCTAGGAATAGTTGAGTTATTATTTTGATTCCTGTAGAATCATTCAAAGAGTACAATCTGAACAAAATGGGAAACACAGGATATGTCAACTGTAAGTGAAGACACAATGCTGTTGTAAAAGGAGAAGGAGAAAAACAAGCTGTCGGAATCATCTGCAGTACAAATGTGCTAAAGTCTGTTATGAAGACTTTTATTTAAACATGTCATAGGAACAGGTTTTTAATTTTTTTTCTTTTTGAAAACGATTTCTAGGCATAGAAATCTCTAATTCTGATATGAGAAATGGAAATGTGTTTATATAAATATACAAATATAAGTGGAATATTTATGTTTCCCAAAGTAACACTGCTGGTAAATGGCTATATAAAGAGTACTCAGCAGTTGTATTTTTTAAGGCTTACTTTTTTTCCAAGTGCTGTTGCATACAAGATGGGAGTAGTGAGCTGGAATATAGCTATGAACCAGGTTGTTCATCTACCCTTCCAGTAAATCATTAAATATTTACTGGATAACAGTTTATATACAAAAGTAATTTGTTTTAGTTGTATGACACCTGAGTAACATGTCAAAATTAATACTATATTTTAAGAGTAGTGGGTAAAGTTTAAATGCTTTTTAAAGATTTTGTGGCCAAATTACAAGTTTAGAAGCTTATATTAAGGATCCAAGCTTGTGTTTATCCTCCTGGCAGATACAGGTGTTCGTACTGCCTGACTTCAGACACTGCATTTACATGTTTGGCTTCTTCCTCTAGGCTTTAACAGTGGTGTGACTGGAAATGCAAAGGTCTCATACTGGCCTGAGCTTTGCACGTAACTGCTGAGAAGTTAATTTCTCTCTGTAAATGAGAAACCAAGAGAAAGAAGCTTCCTACCCTGTTCTCCTTAATCAAATATGTAAAATATTTTTCCCACTGTAGCTTGACAGCATGATGGATAAGCTATGAGTCAAGTGTCATGAAACAGAACATACTTTCTGACATGTCTTTTTTATGTGGTGTGGCTTGTCTTTTTATCCTCTTAAAAATGTCTGTATATAAAATGTCTGCATATATCAGAGCTTTTGAGGCTCTGATAGATGTAAAGGTTGCTTTACAGAAAGTCATAGAAATTAAAGTTCTTGAAATCTGTGTGCTTAAATGACTACAGTAATTCATAATTATCAGAAACATTATTTCAAAAGGTAATCTGAGAACTGTGCTGTGTATTTTTCTTTTGAAATGAGCCTTGTAAGAGTAAGTATGGTAACACTTCAAAATGAACTGAAATTAACACATTTGATCAGGCACCGCTTAAATTTTGATGAAAATGTTGGATAATGTTTCTTTGCTTACATATTGAAATCTGCACCTGGGTTATTACTGAAGACATGAATACAAAAATATGCTTCAGTGCTTCAATTGCACTTAGTTCTCTCAACAGCAATTAAATTCAGCACCTAAAATATCAATACTAAACTCAAAATTATTTTACAGCTTTAAAGAGATAGAAGAAAGGGTGGTTTCTAAATATCTGCTAAACATAGACTTGTCAGTCAATTTTGTCTTTTTGTTCTTTATCTTCCCATTTAATAGCATTTTGAGGCAGGGGAGAAGGGAGGTTTGTTCTGAAGAATCATTCCTGACCAAAAAAAGCGACAAAATAAATCTTTTAATCTGTTAGTTCACAGTATCTAATTATTAGTAACTCACCCTTATCCTCTGTGTTCTTTTATTTGCCTGAATTTTTCATTCCCATGGCTGATATGCTCAGGAAATGTGGAATCTGATCAAAACTCCCTGTATTTTGGAGACTCTACAGTAAACATGCCTTTATGAGATTAAAATACTATAAACAGTTATTTCCCCTTTCCTTTAGCGGACTTGAATATCATGCACAAGCGAAATGAAGAGGCATATCATAATCCAGAGGCAAGACTATATGAAGATAAAAGGGCTATTGTTGACCTAAGTTTGGCCTCCTCGAGACCTGAGAACTCAGAAGCATCTCCAAATAAAATAGCAGGTTTTTAAGAATACTGTATTACTCCTCTAACTATCCATAAGTCTTAGTGATCAAAATTCCATAGTTCTTTATCTCTTTCTGCTAGTCCTATGACAGTGTTAGTGCTCTCTACCTGTAAAGTCAGTATCACGCTTCTTTCCCAAATTTCTTCATTGCTGTCACTGTGTGCTGTTAAAATCTTATCTGTCTTGTTAGTAATGATAACTAAAGCTGTTTTTGCCCTGAAGAGTCAGGATCAGTATGTTAGTTTTCCAGATTTGGTGTTTTCTAATCAAATCTTTGTACATGTTTCTCTTATTTTTAAATGGCACAGTAAAACACAACTGTGTAGTAGGTGGGAATGTGGAATAAAAGGAGGTCTTCAGGTGTACGATGTTAGAGGTTAAGGTGAAATTGGTATAGTAACTAGGTTAACAAGTTCTAAAAAGTTGTATGTAATTTGGATACTTATGGAGCCCTGTGCACTGCCTCCAAGGTCTAGGGATTTTGGTTTATTTTCATATTTTAAAACTAAGTCATCTTTATCTTCTTACGTTTTGTGAGACATCTAAATGAGGGTACTGTGTTACTCCAGACCTGTCCCTAGTTTAGGATGGGCAAGGGCCAGGATCAGTGATGATCTTCTCAACTCAACTGAGATGCTAGTTTTCCTTATCTTGTTTGAATTTTTGCACTTCTTAATAAAGAATTACATGGTATTTGGGGGCGTGAATCTATGTTGCACAATTGCAATTTCGCATCCTTACCACTAAGTTTTGTTCCTTTTGTCCCATCTCTCTTTATCCCCAACAGACTATATTTTTAACCATTTGGTAAGAAGTGAAACAGGAAGGCTGATAAAGTAATAATTTGAAACAGCCAAGAGCCCCCTGGTTAGATCACTTATTTTGGGATCAGGAGGTGGTGCATATCAGTGATGGGAGCTTTATAGTCTTGCACCTTGAATTTGATCAGGCATGCAGTAGTGGTTTTGTGTATGTTTTGGTGGGTTTGTTACTTGGTTTTGTGGTTTGTTTTTTTTTTGGTACAGTGCCCTCTTAAAAGAGGAACTCACAGGACCAGTAGCTGGTACACAAGCAAGCGTTTTCCTTGATACTTTCTATAGTAACTTGTCTGTCTTGTACCCATGCCTTCTAAATGGTATATAAAATTTATTCTGCCTTTTTATATGGAAGTATCATGAAATCATGAAAGAGCCATGTGTACATTTAGTTATATTTTGGAAGCATTCAAACACTGCTTCCATGTAAGGAAAAAGAATCTCAAAGTGTACTCCTTGGTATGCAAACATATGCTCCTAAGGCTAGGCTGTCACAGTAAACACGTGCATTCCTATGGGAATACTTTAATGTGTTATTTATGCTTTCATCTGACTTGGATGTTACCTTACCATAGGGAGGGGAAATGTAATGTTCATCTCAGCTCAGTGGAGATACTGCTCTTGCACATCTTTGGGGCGCTATCCTTCAGAGCAGACACAATACAAATGAAGAGCATGCTGCATGAGCTGGAAAGTTAACACAACTTCCTCTACTTTTCCTTCACTTTCTTTCTGTTTCCTCTGCTTCTTGTAGGGACTCTGTGCTGCAAAACCTACTCTGTGTGGAATCTGAATTAATCCTCCTATCTAGAGCTTTGGGGACTGTATGGTTATGTTGTGGTCGTAACTCAGGGCTAAAGGAAACCTGACACTTCAAACTTTGTAGTACAGAAAACACTTGATACTGGCAGAAGTCAGATTTCTGACTGCTTAGAATTTTATTAGCCACTGTGGGGATTTGCTTTTTGTAGCATCCTTTGTTATTTTGTGTAAATATTTGTTCTGATAGGATGCTCTGTTTTTAAAGAGTGAATAAACCTGAGGAACAGAACTATTTGTTCTAAGTCAGAGGAAACTCAAGCAGTAAAGTTAAGAGGTGTTAAGTATTTGCTATTCTAATTAATTTGTAGGTAATGTTCGTACATACTGAGCTGCAGATTGAACAATAGAATAGGTGACTTTAATAGGTGTTATTTTGTAGAAATGCAGCTTGCTTGGATGGTATAAACAGTTGAAGTCTGGCAATTATTCCAGGCAGAAAATGTAAGAAATTTCAGGCCCAGCTATAGCCTTGAGTTACGGCTGTCATGAGCTTCTCTTTGAAACCAGTGTCTTGGATTCCTCCTTCCTCACTCTGGCTTGCTGTCTTAAATTGTGTTTGTTTTTTATCTGTAACCTTTCCCCTCCCTTAGGTATTACATTTGCACAGGCCTCTCCTTTTGCTCGAGGTAATGTGTTTGGGGAACCTCCATCTCCAGAGCAGCTTAAGCGACAGGAATCCTACAAGAACTTCCTGCGTCTACAGGTGAATGCTCATGCCAGATAACATCTGGTGAAATAAACTGTAAAAAGAGTGTTTGCACTCAGAGTAAATCATTACTGCCCACCAAAGACCTTAACTGTGCTATCACAGTCAATTCTGTACGCAAGAGGTGTACTAAAAGCTACATACTATAGAGTTCCTTGGATTTTGGCTTACATAATAGCATCACTTAGACAAGCACAATCTAGGTACTTTTTTTTTTTTTTTTAAGTACAGCTCTCCAAATATGGTATTGAGTTCTGAAATTATGCATACAGTACAGGTTTGCACACATAAATGACTACAGAAACCAAGATGTTTGCCTTTGGAGGTCTATGTGATATAAAAGTGCATTCATCAAAATGAAATGGTGCTCAGTTATAGTGCAGTTATTTATTGATGGGTATATAAAAATTGATTGTTCTTCAGTCAGCTTATGTCCTCTGTCCATAATACTTCACATTTAATCTTATTCTGCACAAATTAAATATCAGTGTAATTAAATATCATTTCCAAGGAAATAATAATTTAAGGGACTACTAAAGTCAGGCTCTGGTTTGATGTAGATCTCTTGAAAAGAAAAGATCAAGGTTTTTGTCCCATGCATAGGGCTGCCAAATAGACTAAAGAATGAGCAGATCTTTTGCTTTAGTGAGAGTCAGCACTTTGTCTAATAATACTGCAATTGTGGAATGGGAAAAGGTAATTACCATATCTTTTTGGTTTCCCATCCTCCGTTATTTAATCAGTGAATAGAAGTGTTGATCCAGCACATCTGGACTAGAGCAAATGTTAGGAAATACTCTGGTTTTATTAGTAGTGTTTATAAGTAGTTTTCTTGTAGGGTGGTTGGTTCCAATGGCCAAAAAGAAATAGTAAAATAGAATCTCATTTTAAGGGAATTCTGAAGATGAAATATAGAACAGGCTCCAGGATTCTTTCAGTTGCACCATTTAGCTTTTGATTTTGCAATTCAGTACTGCAAAAATCATGGTGGTAAATGTTGTTAATCGGATTGTTTCTGGCTATTGACAGTTGACTACTACTTCTTTGTTTTATTTTTAAGATTGAAGAAAAGAGACGTAGGGAAGAAGCAGAGCGAGAAAAACTTAGAATGGAAGAAGAAAAAGAAGAAAAACGACTCGCAGAGCAGAGGATGAGAATTCAAAAAGCATATGAAGAGGAACTAGAGGAGAGAAGGAGGAAAGATGAGGAGGTGTAGTATTTTGATACTTTGACTTCTTTCCATCCTAAACTAACCTTTTGTGATACTTGTTGTCCAGAAGGTAAGCTGAGAAGTGTCCTGTGAGTTGGTCTGTGCTTTTAAATGGGTCTGCATTAGGCAGAGGAGAGGTGGAAGATTGTCAGCGTTAACTAGCACATTCTTCTCACTCCTTATGTTATACTGCAAACTTGAAGTACCGTTTATTTTTTTAAGAAAAAAACCTAGCTCTCATGGAATTATTTAAAAAATGTAACTATGCAGGAATATTTCGTAAAGACTTCTTTGAATTGGCAAGGAGATATCTCTGAGACAATACTGCTTGTTTTGGATCAGTGCCAAACAAATCTAGTGAATGCTTTTCATGGAGGTAAATTCAAACATAAATCAATACCCATGGATTTAATCCATACACCAATTTTTTATTTCTTGGGTTTGCATTTTTTAATAAATTTGAATTATTTAGAATATAATAAATAATTGTAGGAAGAGCCCACACAAGCCCATCAGAGAAGGAGGAATCTTTCAGTGCCTTATGGAATTATGGAAGATAATTGAAAATTTCTAAGATGGAATGTTTATTTTATATTCTAAATTTTCCTTCCCTAGTATGAGCAAATCAGTTGGATGAGCATTGTTTTCTGGATACTAAAGCTGGTCTAGCAGAGAGTAGGGAGTTACCTAGTATCATTGCTATTCACAATCACATGACTAAAACTGAGACCAAATGATAATTTCTCTGTGGTCTTGTGATAGTATGGTGCATGTCTGCAGTATGTTTTAGTTGAATCTGAATTTTTGGAAATGACTCCTACAGTGTAGCCCTAGCTGATGGCAGATCTGGAGTTGCAAACTGGTGTTTATAGATATTATTAAGAATTCTCTTTAATGATGTTAGCAAGGCCAGGGCTCCTAATGTTTGATATTTGCATGAGCTAGATTTTAATTTGGATATTTGAAGTTAGACTAATGAAATACGCTTTTTTATTTCATACTAATCACTTTGATGTGTAATTTTAACTTCGTAAAGAAAAAGAAAACAAAACTTAAGTAATTGAGTCTTTTTATGTATTAATTGTGTTACAGCGAAGGTTGAAAAATAAAGCAGTAATTCACTTAGAGGAAGAAAGGAAAAAAGAGGCAGAAAAACAGCGAAAAGAAAAAGAAGAAAAGCAAGAGGAACAACTTAGACAATATTTTGAGAAAGAAAAGATGGAAGAGGAAAAGAAGATGGTATGTTTAAGTGACTTTCTAAGATAACTTATAAAAATAACTGGATTTTAAGGAAATCACATGATTTCTTAGACCTCTGCCTTTAGTGTCGGTCCCCTCTTGGTTTATCAAACTGCAGTATACTTTAAGCACAGAGAACAACTGATATAAAAATCAGACATACTGCAGTAAAAACTTACCTTGTTGATGAAATATGCATTAAAAATAGTAAAAGCAAGATTAATAATCCGTACTCAATAGTTGATTTTTTTATCTGCTGTGAAATACTGACCTGCATTTGCTGAGCTGTAAATACAAATAAAAGTGTTTATTAGAGGGCTGGGAGGACTTCATCTTGAGCAATGGTGTTTTTTGCAATTTGATTATTTTCCTTTCACCCAGATTATGTAAATCCATCACATAGAATTCTGATGGACAGAATCTAAGTAAATTATAAAATTGTTTCTCATAAAATTGATACTAAATTTCTGTAATTTCTCTAAAATCAACAGATATAAAGGAAGTGTCTAGAGTAAAAAAGATACGTAAGTGAAATTTAAATTGAGAAAAAAATCACCCTACAACATAGAAAAAAGGTATTAAAATTGCTATAGGTAGAAAACAAAAATCACAGGAAATAATTTTTGCAGTTGTTTTATGCGCTTAGGATTGTTTTTTCTGTCAAAGGAAAAACACGAGCAAAACTTTCCCTGTCCAAAATAACACTTTATTCAGATGCTATAGGAATGTAGTTTCAGTCTTGGTTCCCTCCCTGCAGTTATCACGACAATCTTCGCCCATCATTCCCGCTCTTCAGAACAAATCAGTAAGGAAAGAAGAGAGGATTTCCTCTGCTGAGAGCCGTCTGTCCCACTATGCACAAGTATGATTGTTACAGCAAACTTCTACTGGTTTATTTAAGACAGTGCAGCATATGAAATCATGCCAAGGTTTTAAAGTTTTCCAGTTGTTACTGGAGTGCCATGGATAACGAGACAGTCTTTACATTTATCAGTCTTGGAACTCTGAAATTTAAGGTTAAATTTTATTTCAAGTATTGAAGAATTATTTTTGGCAGTGTGTTATCTTTATTTTTTTTTCTGCATGTGCATTTTTTATAGGAATGAGTACCTCATTTTAGAGAGGACATACACTGTCCAGATCCTTACCAGGGGTCTGATGATCTCAAGATTTAGGATAAGAAAGTTTACATATAATCTAGCAGGTCATCTTTTTCACTCACAGAAGAACTTAGCTCAGGGATGAAGTTTAATGTTGATTTGTAGCTCCTGACATTCTTGTGTAATCTTTGTTTTTGAAAGTACAAGAAGATGATTACTCCTAATATGCTTTGCTTTCTTCTCTGCATCACAAATGAGTTACAGTAGTGGTTCTCAGACCTCTCATTGCTTTAACTTGATAATCTTCTCTGGGGCTTTTTTGGCTTTTAAAATAAACTTCTCGTAGAAGAGAGTAGATGAAATGATTATTTATGATATTTGAATCTCAGGCTACACTTCTGCCTTTTTATTGAAAAAGTGTTTGTTTGTTTTTTACCAACTCTTTGACTGAACTGGGCTAAATACTTTATAGTGCAGTTTCAGAGAATATTTTATATCACACTTTAAACCATTGCTTTCCCTAAATTTCCTAAATGTTAAGAATGCTCTGGAGGTAAGTCAGTTTATTTCTTTAGCAGTACTTGGAATAGATTTGTTTAGAACTCTGAATAGTGCATTATAGGTATTGTCATAGTAATTTGGGTTGTATATTTAAAGATCAGATTTAAAAAACCTTAGGCTTTCACAACCTGTAAGGTTACTGTTCTGACTTCCAATTGTTAATGTAAATTAGGTGTAAAATAAGGAAATAAAATGTACTGTAATGTCTTCCTTTTACAAATTACATTTCATATTGATGATGATCACTAGGATCCTGCACAGCCAAGAGCTCCTTCTCCACCTGTCCCTGCTAGAAGGAATCAGCTGCGTTCATTAGGTGGGTATTTGTTTTCATTGCAAGCTCCCTTTCTATTACAACAAAACTGTCCTCTGTTACAGTTCCTTTACTTGCCTGCAAAAAAATAGTCCTTTAAAATTCATGTTTCTGTCTAGGTGTTTTCTCTCTCTTAGTACTATCAGTGCATTTGTATGGTATGTCTGAAGTTTTAAGACAAAATAAAAATGCATTTATTAGGTGTCATAAGGAAATAAGTTTTTGTAAAAATTTTTATAATGGAATAGTCTGCATGGGAAGTGCTGGATCTCTTGGAACAGTGGTAGCACTGTGACCAGAATATGGCAAAATGGGAAAGTTTTGGGTTAGCTGAGTAACGGATTAGACCAACAGAGTGTAAAGCATTGCAGTTCTAACTCTTAAATTCTAACTATGTTTGTTAATCTGCCTAATCCTCACCTCATTCCTGTTACCTTTTGCCTGTGGTTCTAAAATTCAAATGTGCTGGAAGGATCTCCTTTGTTTTTTTATATTACTTATCCTGGCAATATGTGGGTGGAAAGCAATAATTTTTTTGCTGATACTTTTTTTGCAAGTATATAAGAAATGCAAGTATATAAGAATGCATGTGAAATGTAGCAGTAACTGATGTCCTACAAATGCTAGCCTGCAGCAGAAAGTACCTGTGGCCATTCCAGGGAGCTGTGGATTTTCCACTAAATGGAACAAAGTGTTTCTTAATGCAGTCATTGGAAACTGATTGACTCAGACCTTCTGTCATGAGAGAACTAAAGACACATAAATTTAGTCTCATGTCTGAGGATTTAAACTAGTAAGACTTGCTTGCCTGCTAAGTTCTGAACACTAAAGTCTAAAAGTCAGTAAAATACCAAATTATAAATATGTTATTTGGAAAATGAGGAATTTCTGAAACAAGTTTGACTTGTGGGGGAATGCTGTCCTGACCACAAAAAACAGTATAGACTCAAAGTAGTTCTGAAAAGTCAACATAAGCATGTACTAAGAACTGGAGTTGGAACTCTTGACCACTTAAGAGAATCTGCACTAGACAGACAGATATCCCACTTTTGAGTTAGGGAAAAAAAAGATGTTGAGTGCTTGCAGATACCACTGCAGCTCCTGTTATCTGAGGATTGTGTAGGTTTGCATATTTCAAATTAAGGCTATTTATTGGCAACACCCACTTGTATTCCATAGCATTTCCTTTTTTAAATACAGTGAAACATTTCCAGTGACATTTGTATGTTTTCTGATGTTCAGGGGTTCTGGTCCTTGTGCTGTCTCAAAATGTAAACTCTGATCTAATTTCTAGTGTATGGAATGTTGCAGTTCTCGTGTTTGTACTATCTTTGTTTTAATTGGCATTTCATTATATCTGTTTTTCACATTATTTTTTACTTATAAGTAAGAGGCAAAGTTGCTCTGACACTCCTTATTTTTAAATTATTTGTGCTAAATTCCAGAGGAAAGGAAGAATGTGATAAATGAATTATCAGAGATGAGGAAGCAGCTTCGTAGTGAAGAGAGAAGACTGCAGGAACAGTTGCTAAATGTGGCCAGTTATGATAATGTACCAATTACACGGTAAGAATTTAATCTTCTGTTTTAAAAGCTAGATTTTTCACAGTGTATTATTAGCTAGTATTAGTTGGCCAATATACATGAGCAGAATGAAAATACAAAGGTAGAACTTACATAGAATTTTTCTTTTCAATTTTTTTCTAATGTGTTTGGGTTTTCTCCAAGACTCTTGCTAAAATTTATTGTAAGAATGGCTGTATTGGTGAGATAGGAAGTTTCAATGCTCTGACTTGAAGAGTGGTCTAAAACAGATGTCTAAGGCAGAATTTTATCTTATTACTTTTTTCCTAGGGCATAATTTGTGGCTGTAAACTGCAGTACTGCTGCTGCAGAATATGCTTATGAATACTGTACTGTTGTGGAGGTACTTCCTTTCTGACTGAAAAATCATATCCTCTTTATTAAATAAATTTGGTTTGCTTCCAAAATTTATTAGTTAATCATACCAATTAGCTGGAAAAGACACATCTAATTACCAGCCTTAGTTCCACTCTGTGAAGTATGAGGGGTTGTTTTTTTAAGTAGGTTATCTCTTTTTATAACACAATATGCAGTGTCATTACTTTCAGATTTATTTTCCTGTTTTGATAGTTTTATTTAAAGATTAAAGTTCTGAACATTATCAATATATTTCCATCCAACTCATTAATATTATGGTGTTAAATTACTTTTTGCTTGTTTCACAAACCTTTCAAGCAGGAGGAGAGAGAAGAATCCAAGGGACATATTTGAGATGGCCAGGCTTCGTCTGCAGGCTCCAGTTCGGCGACCTTCCTTAAAGGAGGCACAAGATCCTGTCAATATACAGAATATCTGGGAATTTAATGAACTTAAATACAAAGGCAGGTAGATCATCTTGTTACTGATGAAGAAGGGCTGGGAAACATCCGTCCTCCATCTTCCATTCCATGCAGGATTTAAAGACAAAAATAAAAATCAGGCTCTTCATGAGCTACTGCCCATGCAAGGCACTTCATGGGCAGTATTTTGTTTGTGTGTGTGTATTTCTCTGTGGGGCTGTTCCAGCAATCCCATGAATTCTTGGCCTCATAACACTGCATCATCACTCGGAGCTGAGTGACCTGTCTTCCAGTCCCTTCTTCTTGTGCATTTGATGTCATGGTATTGCTGAAAATAGACTGAGTTGGACCTTTTTACCAACCAACAAATTATGTTTCTGTGGAACTCTGTTTATTCTTTACCAGAAAACATATATTTTTAATGTAGTAAAATTGTAAAATCATTGCTAAGTTGTTCATCCTCTTGGCCATTGACAGTATTATTTTTAGTGGGTTTTTTTATTACTTAGATATTTCTTTAAAAATGCTTTTCAGAAATTTAGGGAAAATTTAGTTAATTTCAAAATTTAGTAATTTCAGTTAATTTAGGGAAAAATTGTTAATTTCATGTCTTTGCTCTAGATCCTGAAACTCGTATGGGCTTGAGGCAAATGTATCCTGATCCTCCAAGAGATGACCAGACTCTAGAAATTCAACAGCAGGCACTGTTGAGGGAGCAGCAGAGGAAACTTGACAGAATGAGAATGAGGAGAGAAACAGAAGGTAAGGAGTGAATGCTTTGAGATAAACAAAAATCCTTGAAATGATGTGTTTTGTATTTGGTAAGAATTAAAACCCACTAGCACTAGTTTTACTTCTTTCAAGTGCACTGTCAGCATTGCAGTATGAAGTAGTAAAACACCAGAACACTGAAAGTCTATTGTAATGTAAGCATAAAAAGATTGTTTGGGGGAGCTTTTGTTGTTTTGTACTTAATTTTGGGATTATTTAATTACTTGTGACAGTTTCTCTTTGGCTCCCTGAATTTAACTAGTGCCTCATACTTCAAAAATTGTAAGGGAAAAGTAGTTTTGTTACTGTTTCTTGGAGAAACCTCTTTTGCTATGAACTGTGAAAAAAGTGTTACAGATAAGTTCCATGAAGTAATTCTTGAGTTCTCATGGAGGAAGTAGGATGGCTTTGAATTGTGAATTGATTAAAATACAGCCAGAGTATCTTCACCTTGGTCTCCTTTTAATGGATGAAATTTCTTTTATTTCCATTATCTTGGGTTTATTTTAAAGTTTCAGAAACCTGTATCCACATCTTTGCTTTAGAAACAACATGTGAGAGATCATAACTACTTGGAAGCTCTGGAAGGAAAATGTTGCTTGTATCGCTAAATAGACTTGATCCTAAGATAGTAAACATTAACAGCCTAACATGGAAAATATTTTGGGTGCATATTGCAGAAGCAGTGAAAAGTAGATATATTATCCCTTTTTTTGCATGTTAGAATTAATTCCAAATGTGAGGTTCATTCAGGTATCTTCTACAAACAGTCATGAAAGAGCAGTATTTCCAGTTGTTTTAGAGGATATTTAAAATTATAATGAGAATTGCTTTAGCCTATACAAATGAACTCAGTTTTGAGTGCAAGATACAGATTTCTTGGAAAAGTGTTTGCCTCTTTAATTCAGACTGGCCTAACTAAATTTTTGAAGAGAAAGCCACTTTATTTCTGTGGTGGCTTAGCCTTTGCTAATAGCCAGACTCGCACCTGGCTGCTGTTCTGCTTATGCCTCCTCTCTCCTGCCCTTTGGGGAAACAGGAAGAATAAAGCTTGTTGGCCAAGGTGCAGATGGGGAGATTGGTTACCAGTTGCTGTTGTGGGCAAAACAGACTTGACTTGGGGAAAGTTAACCTAATATAAGCTATAAGCCTAAATATTTGATTAGTGACTTTGAGTAGCAGAAAATAAAAAGCATGAGCCTGCACCTTTCCTGCCCCTTTCCTTTGCCCAGTTTCACTCCTTCATTCTCAGTGTCCCTGCTCTCCTTCCTCGGTACTACCCCAGGTACCAAGTTACATCTGTGATGCGATGAGTGATGTCAGGCTCGGGCAGGGGGGAATTGTGGTTATTACACAGCAGTTCCTCTCCGCTGCTTCTGTCTTCTTGCACCCTTTGATCTGCACCTTCAGGAGCTGCAGGGGAATCTCTCCTCTGGCACCTGAGCACCTCCTCCTCCTTCTTCTCTGACTTTGGTGCCTCCAGGGCTGCTTGTCACAGGTTTGTCCTCAGTCCTGCTGCCACACTTTGATGTGCTTTTTCTCAAATTTGTTTGCAGAGGCATCATAAACATGACTGATAGGTCCTGCAGCAGTTCCATTGTGGCAACAGCTGTGCCCAGCACAGGGTATCTGTCCCCTGGCATCTTCCCACAGCCCCCCACCTCGCCACAGTCACCCATGGAATTGTTCCTAAGACTTTATTAGCCTTAGCTAAAAGTTGTGCGTTAAATAAAACCAAGCACACATGAAAGGAAAATATTTACATTTTTGCATACTGCTTTGGAAAAACTGAATTCCTTTTCTGGTCACTGGTGCTTTGAGGCTTGCTCCTGTTAGCTGTTGCCAGACCTGTAAGATTAGCAAAATTAATACCAAGATGTGAAGGGTGACAGTTGTGTTTTGTTCAGTACTCTGCTGAGTATTAAATATGATTCCTCCTCTATCTTGGACAGATGAGCTGGTGCTCAAGCAATGTGTGTCATATTGCTTATGGATTATAGAACATCACAGTTGCAAATAAGCACATCTGTGTCACATTTTGTGTTAATTATATGGTTGTATCCTTTAGTGTCTAAATGGAATGTATAGGCTTGACTTCAGTCTTCCTCTTCATGACATTGACTGAAATGCTGAAAAATAATTCACTAGATTCAGCTGAGATCTCTCTGAGGCTTGGTTCTGGTTTTCCACCATTAGAATATTTTTAATAGACCAGTCTGAGAAAACTTTCATTTAATGTTTTCTGCAGAGAAACCTCCACCATCTAGAAAGCAAATTTGCTTCTTCCATTAATTTCAAGCACATGCAGTCATTTAGACTTCTGCTAAGGTAGGTAGGTTTCCATGATGACATCCAAGGAAAGGCCTCTTCAGGTTAGCTTAGATTAGCTGATAGACAGGCAGCTGATTTTTATAAGTATTTTCTACTGATGTTTCTAGAGGATCCTTAAACAGCTTTTTCTCTTTTCTCTCCTACTGCTTTACAACATCATTTAACTTTATAGTCTGTCACTGACTACTGAGCAAGAGAATTAGTTGCCATCTCTGCATTTCCAGTTTATTTTCCTCAGAGACAAGTTCATCATCTTCCTCTGGCTGAAAATACATGAGTGGTTTTACTGTCTGATTTAAGGCAGAAAGAAAGATGAATTAAAGCAGTATGTACTTTTATACTGTGGGTGAAATAATGTGTTATGTGGAAAAGGCATACCTTTTTTCCCTCACTATGTGTAAGTGTTCTTTGCCTTACAAGCTTTTTATACAGTTTTCCCTCTGATATGTTTGGGGTTTTTTTGTGTGAAAGAGGAATATGTTGACTGTTAATGAAAATATAAACTGACAAACCAGTATTTTAAATATTAAAAGTTTTTAAATGCTAGCTGTGTTCCTATAAATGAGGCAGCCTTTTGCAGACTTCCGTATGATTCTTTTTCTGGGGGATGAGATGCAAAGCCCCAAGAGCAGGTTTGATGTTGATGTGCTGCAGTGCTGGGTGCTGCTTGACTGGAGCAGAGTGTCAGGAATGGGCTGGGAGTTGGGCCAGGAGGACTGACAGCCCATGTGCTCTGATGCTGGACAGAAGGTCAGCTACACACTGAGTAAGGTGTTGCTTCTTGCATGTCTGCCTCAAAAAACAATCTAATTAAATCATTTATTTGAAAACTTAAACTAAATAAGAACAGTGACTTCAGTTTTGCTTCTTTGCATTTCCACCATGCATTGGGTCATTGTTAGCCTGACTTTCAGGATGGTTCTCCATGCTCTCCAGAACTGAGTTTTTTATCTGTAGATAAATGCATATATATTCTTATCACTTTCCTCTGTGAAACAGTCTCTGTCTGGTTCAGCTTCTCTTTGAAAGCTGGAAATGTAGTGAGCTCAGCATGTTAAATGTACATTTACTCTTGGGGTTTTCTGCAGTCCCTGCTGTGGTTGTTATTCCCTGCCAGGGGCCAAAAAATAGATTAGAAATAATACACTATGGATTTTTGTTTGATTTATCTGATTTCACTTAAATTTACATTAAGAAACTGGAATAATTGTTGTGTTCAAATGTTTTAAAAACTAATTCCTTCAGCGTAATTTATGTGTATTTAAAGATGTAATGCACACTGGTCTCAATTTTTGCAATAGTAAGCTGAGAAAATACTTTTTGTTATTAACTATTTTTGTGTCAACCCTGTTGTTTTGTCTCTTGTCTGTATAGCTTTTGATGACCAAGATGATTCTGCTTTGGACAGCTACCTAGAAACCATGGGCCCGGTAAGAATAAAAGGTTTTTTATTATATTGCTTTTTCAAGTGTGAGAAATACTGTGTCTTCCACTGATTTGGAGAAATAAATTACACTTAACAAGACAGCAAACTAATTTACTTATTTTTCTGGTCCACACAAACTACAGCTTCTTTAAACTTGGCATACAAGTTGCTTATCTTTGTATATAGAGATAGCTTGATTCTTTAACACTCTTCCTTATATATTCAGTGGTACTTATTTGATATTCATATGAAAGATTGCTCCTGGGGAGTGAGGATTAGTAGAAAAAGCCAAGCCAGAAGCAGTTGCTCTGAATTTGGGTGGTTTAAGTGAGGCACTTGGCAGTTAAGAATTGGATCTGTTCTCCAATGGAACAATAATTTTTCTGCCTTGGTGAAAAGGGCAAAATAAAATGCTATCAAATGAGAATCCTGCACTAACCCAAAATACTGAATAACAGTTCAAGTGTATCTCATGGCAATGTGAATCAGTGAAAAACAGGAGACTGTGCAACAGCAAAGACATTAACCTTGAGGATAATATTGTAACTAAATGCAGAAATAAAACAGTCTTTATTGTAAAAAACAATCACATTCATGCACTTTATAGTTGTAATTTAATGACTGAAGTTATCATTCAGAGCAATGCTTTGCAGTAAAAGATTTGTTTTCTCTTGTTCTGTTTCCTCTGATAGTTTCTACTGCTTTGATTTTAGAGTGGTTTTCAACATAAATTATTCCTCAGTAGGATTTCTGTAACAAATGGTTGCAACTATGAAGTGAACTATGAGTATTGGTCTTAGTGCTTGATATTATGATGTAGAAATTTGTTATTTTAATGCTTTAATGTCAAAGATTGTATGTGGTGGAATAAGTTAAACATAAAGAATCATTCTTCATTTGATCAATACTTCATACAAACCTTAACTGCAAAGCTCACTTTGAGTACTGACTGTTCTGAACCTCATGCAGAGTGACAAAGATCAATTTCTTGATGAAAAAGTCTTTGTTACACAAATTACAACAGTTTCCATGTGTAGGCAATTTCAGGAAATGGGATTTATATAGAAAAGTAAAATAACCCCAAACCCTAATGCTTAAAGAAAATATGAGTTCTTTAAAAATGTATTGGGTTTTTAGAACCATAAAGTTAGGGATAATAGAATATTAACAGTGTAGAGCTGCTCTTTGCTTTGCAGAAGTTTGGCAATTAATTTACATTGATTATCATTTGGCCCCAGAAATGCATTGAAGCCTCTGAATTTCCATTTTTTTTCTGTTTCACTTTTGCAGTTCAGGACCAAATCTAGTGAATTCCAGAAAAATTCACTGTTGGAATCGGATAGCGCTTTTATTGGTGAGTTTGCACCTCCCCTTAACGGTGTTGTGAGTATATAGACACAGGGTTTAGTCTAAAGCTGTGTCTCTAAAGTGATTATTGCTGTTCTTGAAGTTGCAATGGTTGTAGCTATGGTGATTGCTTTGAAGTTTTAGGAAGTTTTGTCTCCAAATTAAAATGCAGAGATTTATGAAATTTTACTGCAATAAATTTGTGTAGATGACACCTGTATTTAATGATGCTGCTCAGTTGCCCTTTACCACCTTACAACTTTTCATGAGAAAGCATCTTTCTCTGCTCTTTATGCTTTTCCTGGGAGGTTTGTCTTGTCAGGGGGCTTTTTTGACATCTTCCCAGCTTTGGATTAGGAAAAGCTAATATTTATTCAGGAAATGTGTTGCAATGATAGCATAGGCAATGCTTTTCTATTGTTCTGCTGCAAATAATATAATTTATTGGCAATCACAGCTTACAATTGCAATCTGTCCACAGTGAAATACAAAAGTCTTAGACAGTCAGCGATTCTTTTCATGGTTATTCTTTTGATTTACAAGCATGCTTGATTTTAAGTATGATTATATGGGTATAAAATACTTCATTCTAAATTAGTCACTTTTCTGCTGTTTATATATTATTTCATTTCACTTGCAACATCCTACTTACAGACACTGTCACTTATTCATCATCAGAAGCAAATGACTTTAAGTTTTCTAAAGATTTTTGTAAAGACTGCCTCATGTAATGCCTCTCTATTCAACCTTTATATGCATGGATGTGAAAGTGGTGTTTTATTTCCACTTACTAGAAATAACAGGACTAGAAAAACCCAACCAGCTCAAGCCTTTACATGTTATTTTCCATTAGCAGGCATTTCAGTATCTTGAAATTTCTTTCAGTCATCTATGGGAAATGATCTTGCAAGGTTTTTATTCTTTGCTGTAGGGGAGCTGCAGTAGAGTCCTGCAGGTACTTTTTAATGAACTCTGTTTCTGTGAACTGATAATTATTATCTCTGGCTTTGGTTAAAAGCAGAATTTCTTATTTGAAGCATATTCAAGCCTATTCTGTTAATGTGCAAGTCCTGGAGGGCAGGGTAGAACCTGGCACTGGGAAGAGCACAGGGTGGGGCTTTCAGCCTTGTATCGTGCATTTGGTTCTCTCTGTAATCAACAAAACCTTCCTTCTCAGGTTAAGGATTACTGTGTATTAGTACAGCCTATTGGTGAAAGATGGCCTCAGGAGAGCAAATCAGTCTAGGCTGGGGACAAATAGCCCATCTCAGCCAGGACAGGCTCATGGCGAGGAACACAAGGTGCAGGCCAGACATGCAGGACTCTTCCAGCTTCCAGTGACCTTTAGCTGACTGCATTTCCTAAGTCTCGCTAAGCTGGGCCTTTCCCAGGTTATCTTTCTTGAACTGGAATTAGCATTTTTGAATCCCTGTTCACCATCAATTTTGTGTTGATAAATATCCACCTTGTGCTGTCTGTGAACTATGTCCTTTCATCTGCCTTGAGGCTGCCACCTCTGTAATGGGGTGTTTTTGGTAATTCACCACTTTCATAAGGTTCGTGATATTTATCATCATCTCACAGTTTCCCTTCTTCCTCCCATCCAGCTGGGACTTGCAGTTTAGTGAGGTGTTTGGGTTAACCTAACATATTATTTATTCCTCCCCCACCCACTTTTTTCCCTTTTACCCCCCAGATAATTTATGATTGATGAAAACCATTTTCTTCAAAAGTGAGCTGTATGCACTAAATAAAAATGTGTTATCCTTTGCATTATTTGGGCTTTATAAATAGCTAGTAACATTCTGAATATGAATCTGGTGACTTCCATCCCTAAAAAGAAAAACAAAAACTATCATTCTCTGTGGGCTGCCTTCTCTGTCAGTTGTGCTGCTTACATTGTCTGAGGGTCTTTTGTGAAATACAGGGAGTGTATTTTAAAAGTGTTTGCCGTTTTCTAGGAAGATTGTAACACTGCCCTCTGTTTTGATTGAGATTTTTTTGACATGGGTTTAAAATCCAACTCAGTTTTGACATCTGTCATGTCAGCATTACATATGAGTTTCTCTCCTAGGGCTCAGAAATCTGAGAAAGTTAGAAATAAAGTGGTTTATCAGTTTCTTTTTTCCTTTTTTTGCCTCCTTAAAAACCCTAGAATCCATTAGTGTTAATGCAGTGATGTAAAAGCATCTCTCTGCAGCAGGACCTGAATGATAGTTGCTTACAGGAATAGGTAACATCTGATACTGATGATACACTAATGGTACAAATAAATTCTTAGGCTTGTCTTTTGTTGTGACAAATTCACATTGTTAAACCAGATTTTATATTCTGAGTAATAGTGCTATTTTGAATTTAATGAAGTTCAGCTGGTCTTGTAGCTGGAATTCTGATACATGAATTGTTAGCCTTACACCATTTCAAAATTATGCTTTTTTTACTTGTAACATTTGTGATAAGAGCATGAATACCCTTGGTGAAAGTGGGGAAGAGAAAAGATGAGAGAAGAATAAAAAATGTATTTTTAGGGAAAAAAACCAACTGAAAATATAAAAGAATTAAAAAAAAATTCTCTTTTTGTTATTCTGAACTTGTTTGCTATCAATCAGATTTATTTTTCAAACCTAAGTATGTCAATTTTCAACCAAAGTTACTCTTTGTTATGTTTAGAATTTACATTCATTTATCTTTTAATTATTTTTTTTTTTACTTTATGTGATGTACTGGACTAACCACTTTTCCAAAACATGACTTTGTTGTCACTAAGAGTGGTTGGTGGTAGTGGATTCAGTAGGGGTTTTGTTGAGCAGAGTCCTTCCATTTCCTGGGAGGCTCTGTTCCTGAAGATGCCAGAGGGACTGCAGTAGGAAATAGAGCCCACTGTCTGCACCAAGCAGCAGCAAAGCCATCAACCAACCCCTACTGGTCATGGAGGAAAAAGCAAAATTACTTGTTTGAAACAGTTTGTATTTGAAAGAGTTTTCAGAGTCAGAAAAAGAAGGGGAAATAGAAAAGTGTGAAGCAGACACATGACTTTAGGGTTCATTTATGCTATAAAAATAGATTAAACTTCCCCCACTGTAATGTGATACAAGCATGATGAAAAGGTGTAGTTATTTATTCTTGTATGAACAGATTCTAACATTTTATTACATGAAAAGGCAGAGATATGACCAAGGATGTGTGTTTAAGGCATAGATTTTGTGCTAGCATATTCATGTAACACTGTCAGTCCATGCAATGTTACTGTATGTTCCATGTAACATATTTACAAACATAATTTGTTACATGACTGTATCTTTTAATGACTCTGATTTTCCAACTGCTCTCTCTTTCAAGGAGAGGTGCTGTGCTCATTTGAGTACTCATTTACTTTAAAGGTCCAGGTATAAACAAGATTTGTAATGAATACATTCCTGTGATGGAGTCAAGTAAAATATATTGGCTTGTTTCAAAATGTGAGCAGGTTGGAGCTTGGAGCACTCTCTGGTATTTTGATTTCTTTGAAAATTATTTCACCTGTTTTTCCAGGTGCTAATGGGGAAACGTTTTCTGCCTTAGAAGAAGTGAATTTATTACCACAGCATCCATCTTCTGCAAGGGAGAGGAGACGACTAAAGCAGAGAGCTTTGGAGAGTGCTGTACGTATGGGGGCTGACAGATGTGATGCCAGACAGTTCCTGTGCTTCCACACTGACTCCGTGTTATGGCTCCTGAGAGAGTACACATGTAGCTCTTTGTCCTGTTAAAGAGAATGGTGTTTAACTGGAGGATTTGTGTGTCTCTGGATTCCCTGCAGGAGGAAGTTCCACCAGGGCAGACACCCTTGCTGCAGCCTGACAGCTTCTCTTTGCACTCAGACTTCAGCCTCGATGTTGATCAGGTGAAAGGCAAGAATGAGGAACGACTGCACAGACTGACTGAGCTCCAGCAGAAATCTCCTTCCTTGGGTATGCTCCCTGCAGCAGTGATGATTTAGTGAACACTAAGTAATTGCAATAAGTAAAGGAACAAATAATTATAATAATAGGCTTAATTATTGTAACAGAACAGTGAGCAACCAGATCAAACACAGGAGTTATTTATAGAGCTCTGGAGCTGGTACAAGGGCATCCCCAGGCACGCCTCAATATAACTTCTTTAGACTAAGTTTAGAGGAGGAGAGTAGGAAAAGATTCTCATATTCCAGTCTCATCAGCCACTCCTGCTTGTCCTGTGAGCACCAGTGCAGCAGGATGGGGATATCCAGCTGCAAAGCTGAAATGGCAGTGGGAAGAAATAAAACACCCAAGTGATGAATGATGATGAGGTGCCTGTGTGAGTTTATAGGCATTCCTGGGAGTCATATGTCTGTGGTCCAACCAGCATGAAGATATGCAAGAGAATTGTGTATGATGAAGTACTTCAGTTTCTAGTTAATTTGATTTTCTAGTGGTTTGTTAATATTAATGATCATTCAGTATTGCAGTATGTGAGTATTTGATACTGATACCTCTTTCACTGCACACACACTTAAATTCTTTCCATGTTTCTTATATCAGATGCTGAGAGTTGTCTTGGAGCATCTCCAAATTCTGGCTGCCTGATCTAGATGCCTTTTGTGTATGAAGTACCAATCATGGCAACCATTAATGGCCTTTAATTTCTCACATGGATTGTGACCCAGTTCATACACTTTGTGCTAATGATTCTTTCATACGAGTCTGAAATCTCCCTTTTTTGGAGGTAGTTGCTATGCTGTCTGGGCAATTACAGTATCAGTATCCTTTTTATAAACTTAATGAGAGTACAGATGCTGGCAGTATTTTTGATTCTGTTGCTATGGTGCTCTTACAAGCACTTCATTTTTTTTTTTTTTTGTTTGAACCATCTCACTGTGGTTTTAAGTCACTAAAAAAATAAACCCTATTCATATTAATTTTCTTCTATAATCAAAATAAACTCTTTACTAATTTTACTCCACCCAGATATATTTGAACTACTTTTACTTCTGTATCTGTTGTATTTCACCTTTTATAATTTCACCTCATATCATATGCTCTACACTTTTTATTTTGCTTGCCTTCTGTCACAGCCTCCAGAGCTGCAGCCTTTAGATAAATATAATTTTGATAATATATGTATATATGAATATATATGTCTGTATGTAGTTTGTTCTCTGGAGAACACAGGGACCCATCACTCATCCTTAGCATTTGTGCCTTTTGGAAAGGTAGCAATAGATCCTCTTGCTCAGCTGTGGTCGTTCAGGCTGCAGTGCTGTTTGCCCTCCTGTTCCCTCCTTATGCTCAGGGATATTACAGAAATAATGAGTGAAGCCAAATTTTTTTACTCCTTTTCCCTAACAGTCTGAAAGAACCCTTGTGGCATCCTCTTGCTTTCCAAGCAGCCCGGATTGCCATTTCTCCTCTGCCCTCAGAGATGCTGCTGTGAGAAAACAAATCTCTCAAATATATAAGTAAGGAACCTGGTTATCTTCCCTTGAAATGACCAGAGATGGCAATTCACAGGCTTTGATGAATTCTAAGAGCTGATCTGGTTCAGTAAGGAGGCTCTGTTTACAGCAGCTCACTTTCCCCTATGGGACTGATGTGGGAATCCTAAAGGCATCCTAGTATTGTTTGCTTAATTGGAAAGTTAGAAAAAAGGAGTCAGGCCTTCTCATCCATTTTCACCCATACAAAAAAATTCCTGTCAGTGTAGACTTGGTAAATATTTGGGTGATGGAGTCTCTGCAAGCCAGAGACATTATCTCTGTCAAGCAAGGTATGTGTGTTCCTAAGGGCGTAAACAAGAGCAGGCTCAGATACAGCAGAGGGAATTTTCACAGATTTGGGCACACAAGATGTGCTGCTGTTGGTGTTTTGCAGGAATCCAGATACCATTCAGTTTCTAAACAAGGATTTAATGCTAAGGAAAATCTTTCCTTACCCTCAGCCTTTACATGCAAACTGAATTATCAAGAGTCTTGATTTGTGTCCCAGTTAAGGACAGTTTTTATGGAGTGTGCAAGATATTGAAATTCATGATGAAGTTCTGCAGTGCAGCTGATCTGCTGTGCTTTCTATAAGCAGCACCAAGTGAGTCTGATCCAGTGATGTACACTGTGATCTTACCTCTGGCAGAACAGTTGATCTTGCCTCTGACATCTGCAAGCTCTGCAGGCTTTGCTTTAAAGGCAGAAGTAGTTAAGTGTGGGGAAATGCAGCCCTCTGGCCTGGATATTCACAGTTTGTCTCTAAACAACCTTATTTTTATTGTTGCTAGATATCATCTCTTAAAGCAGCAAACAGAAAATTGATTTTCTTCAGGTATCACTTTTCCTGCTGTGTGCTAAACCTACATACGCAAAAACTGTGGGTTCCAACCCACAGGAGGGTTCATCAGACCCAGGATTTAGGAGACAAAGAGGTTCACTCTGCCAGCTTCAAGCACAGGAGATGACAGGCTCTAGAGCCAGGGAGGTCTGCTCTCATGTCTAGTGTTGCAGACAAGTTTTAGTCAGACTGGGAAGGTTTGGAGGATGATCAGATTGCTGTCTGTATGATGTGACAGAACTAATGATTCGTGCCAAGTTCTTTTGGAACAAAAAGTATTTGGCATTTTGTTTTAGAACCCACCTTCCCACCTAACAGACAAGGAGGCCTTGCTCTCAGTGTATGGGTTTGTGCAGTTCCTGCCCTTCTCTTTACCCCTGCACACCTGCCTGCTGCTTCTCCAGGCCTTGGGCTCTCACACCCATGCTCAGACGATCAACTTTCAGTTTTTAATGAGAATCCTCAGAGAAGCTTTGATTTTAAAGTCTCATTTTTAAAAAGTCATAATTTTTGCAGAATAAAACCCTATAATTTGTAAAAATCATCCGAATACTTAAATTACATGACACTTATTAATTGCTTAGGTAAATTATACTGTCACTAAAGAATATACAGTTTTGTTTGCTTGAATTAGAATGTTTCTGTAAATTTTCTTTTTCCTAATTCAGAGTCTAAACATTTTACTGCCCACCATAAACACCAACAAACCAGAACATCCTCATTGATGTGACTCAGTTTTAAGAGGAAAACATTTCAATTTTTAGTCATTATAGATAGCTGGGGTTTGCACAATTTTTTTCATCTATGTAAAATTTAAATGTTGTGAGGCTAAAAAATTGAACAGCACAGAGAAATTTATACATTCATTTCCCTTTATATAAAGTAAAATTTTATGTTGTTCCATAATCTACACTATTTGTTTAAGGTATTAGGTATATGTATGATTGCTGACAGAATTGAAACAAATAATAGTAGAATCCAGAGTGATCATGGCTCCAAGTTCAAAGGCAAGGCAGTTCTGCTTTTTGTTTGGTGGGGTGTATTTTGTAACTGGAAGACCCCTACTTAGCCAGTTTCAGCATGACATTGCACTGAGGTTGAGGTTTTGAGCTGTGCTGAGCTGTGATGCACAGGCTCACTTGCATTTGCATTGTTAAACCAAGTTAAACAATTCTTCTTCAGCAGGGGACTGGCTATACAAGGTTCAGTCAGGCCACTGTAATTGAATGGCCTCATTTTCACATGCATTTTTATGCATATGTGCACTGACAGATTTGACTTCGCCCTAAATAGAAGCTTTTTGGAGAGCAAGAACCCTCTGCTGAGTCCACCCACCTCTGCCTGTATCCTTACTCTTTGGTGAGCTGCTGGTGTGGATCTGTTCAGGCCCAGTTCCCCAGAACATCAGCAAACGTGTGCCAAGTGGAAATGTCATTTAAAAGCATTATTGATGCACTGACTGCAGCCAAGCCTGCACGGCGTTTGTTGTTCTGTCCCCCCTAACACGCGTGTCGCTCTCCTCCTCTCTCAGGTGATGACATTTCCTTAGGGGACGTGGATGACCTTCTGAAGCGCTCTCAGTCCCACGCCAGCTCCACTGACACGGTGGCGACAGAGCCCTGGCTGCGACCAGGAACGTCGGCCACGCTCCGGCGGCTGCTGGCGGAGCAGCCAGGCTCAGCAAGGCTGTCCCCGGAGAAGGCGCTGCCGCTGGGCTGGCAGGGCCTCTCCACCGCGCACGGCTGACTGCGCCCGGCGAGCCGCGGCCGAGGAGGCAGCGCCCGCACCGCTGCGCCTGCCACGGAATCCTGCAGGGAGAGTTCTCTCCCGTGTACTGCGCGGAGCTGTGTGTGGAATTGGAAACAGCAATAATAAAGGATCAGACACTGCAGTGGAACCGAGGTGTAGCGCAGGGATGGTTTCTGTTCCGTGACATGGGAAATGGAGGAATAGCTTGGCAGCTTTTGCACTTTTTATACAACTTAAGTTTCAGCCTCAGAAACAGTGTGGTGTATATGAATTTGATATTAAATCAGAGATATTTTTTAGCTTTATAGTCAAAACTTTTAAAACTTGCTGGCATTAGGACAGCCCCACAGCACAAGGGCATTAGGTTTTTACCCAGAGAGTGAGTAACTTGAAGAAGGACACTTGGTTTTCACACAGAGTAAATGCTGTCCTGCATGAAAGCACAGCTAACACTTTCATAGTAATTTTTTTCCTATCAGCAGTGTGTCTTACATTCCTGAACTTGTCATGTGCTGAAAATACAGATATTGTTGAATATATTTATGTTTCTGATTGAAGAGTTTAATAAAGTATTTTGCTACTAAAATTATTTTTGGTACAAAAACTGTGAAAACTGACTTCAATTTTCTTTATGATTTGCTTCAGGTTTCATTTACTCATGAACAAACTGGAGTGTTAAAGCTATCTCCAAAGAAATTAAAACACGTGGAAAAACTGTTAAGACCACAGAGCTTTAGCAAAAAGGATATGGAGCAAGATTTTAGTTCAGTGGACTACACAACCAAGGTGAAGCAAGGGTAATCCTGCAACTTTACTCTTGGTTAGAAAATTCCCCCCCAGAGGCCTAAACCTGATCAAATGGGGGGGAAAAAAGACTGATGAAAACAAGAACTTTTTACAAAGGTCTTTTGTTTTTACTACAATGCCACCATCAAGCTTTTGTAAACCTATCTGAAGGCTACAGCAGTCCCCTGACAGCTGTACTTCAAACCTGTGTGGTGCTGAGCTTCTTCATGGGCTTAGCACATTCTTTCCCAGAGAGAATTTGCCAAATCACGGTAATTCTTACCCTGTATTTCTGGCTCAACAGTGAGAAGGTTCATTGGTGAGGGTATGACAGTGGTGGCCACTCAAGCAGGGGCACTGGTATAATCCCTGACCTGGGCTGGAGCAGGTACCTCAGGCTGCATGGCTACTTCAGTCTGGACTTCCCAGAGACAGGGAAATAACTTTGTGAAAATGCTTTATGTTAATACACACTTACCATTCTCTCATGCCAAAGCCCACCTCTGTCACCTGCCCTGATGGCTCTCTCCAGTTGCCTCACAAATTGAACTTTGAGACACATTCACTGTACCATCTCCAGCCTAGAACAGATTTCTCTTCTTCCTCATCCAATTGCCTACAGTTTAATTATTTTTTTATTCCCTTAATTTTAATTGGAGTTTTTCCCCTGAGAGGAACATGAAGTGTTCCCCTAAAAAGCCACCCTGATGTCATTGCAGTAAGTTTTGTAAATACCACTGACCATCAGAAGCTGGCATTCCTTTCCTCCAGTTCAAGGCCAGGATGTGACATAACCCCTCTTTGTATTACTTTGTTCATCTGTGCTGTGGCCTGAAACCACAGAAACTACTTTAACCTCACTGCTCAGCAGCCCTTTAGCACCATGAATTCCACTCTTCCCTGCAGCTACCCTCCCTTGGGCACTCAGGATGCTGCCTGGGACACTCTTGAGTCCTTTCCATCTTCCCTTTCCAGATCTGCAGCTTTCTCTGCCTCTCTTAAGTTCATCTTCTGGCAGGGAGGGCCCTTCTGCCCCCTAACTTTTTATCATGACAGCTTCACCTGCAAAATAAATGTATCTGCAGTCTCAGCCCTGATGGATATTGAGATGAATAAACCAGAACCTATTTTCTGCCTGCCCCTGACCCCAGATCTTTGATAATTATCATAAATACGAGTGTTAAGAGAACAGCAAGTGGAACATGATGCCCAGAGTACACCTGGTGCTGTTCGGGCATTGCAAGAACTAAGGAGAGGTAGGAGAGTCACTACGATGACACCAAAGTTCAGCTCCCAATGAACCAATATTAAACAGCTATTGGGCCTTTTCCAAATAGGTGATTAAAATAAGGCATGAGAAGGCCAAGCTGTAAAAGAAAAATGTCATTACTAAAGGGGAGTACACAACAAAACAATGAAAAGTAAACCAGAAAGAGCCACACAACCCCAACTGCCCAAGTTTTTAGGTAATTCATTGTACTCACTGTTCTATCTTGAACACAGATGATTAGAAAGCAATTGGGCACAAGGAACAGTCGCTGTTTAAACATGCTCAGGGCAGCAGTGTCAGGAACACCCTGGTAATGGTCTCAGAACAGTTTGCTAAAGCCATGGGGAGGGTATGAATAGGGATGGGACGCATTACACTCACTCTAAAAATTATTACTGATTACTGTCAGACAGAGAAAGACCTCATGTCTGGCCCTGCATGGCACTTTAAGATTTAAACACAGCACAAAAAACTGAACAAGTAAAATATAGAAAAAGCCCAAGAGAAAAGGCTACAATTAATTCAAATGACCTCAATTCTCCCCCATCTGACTCTGGTAATTGCTATTTGGTTTTGCTCCACCCCAGTTAACTTTGTGAGCAAACCCTGAATCACAGGTCATAGCATTTTATTTCCCTTTTCTGGCTTTTCCAATAGCTATTTCATTGAACTGCTTACACTTATTTCTGAAGCCCGCTGTGAATGTCTGTGTCAGATTCATTGCCCTGAAAAGAGAGGAGGCTCCCTCACACACCTTGGTCTTCACACTGCTCTCCTGTGCCAGTCAGGAGTTTTGTGGGAACACACTGGAGAACACTCCAATTCCACTTATAAAATCAAAGATGCTGACAAGGCTCAGCAAAACTGCAATCCCAGCCCTTGCCTTGCCCCCTTCTCCATCAGCTGTTTGGTGTTTGTATTTTAATCCCCAGAGAGCAAAGTGCAGTACTTGAGCTTCTATCTGTGCAGCACTACAGTTCTGACCAGTTCATGTAACATTTTTATTCTCCTCCAGACATGCCCACCTTTTTTTTTAAAATTTACCCCTCATTTTCCCCCTATATTTGTGTCTAACAGTGAGAAGCGGCATCCCAGTCAACCAGAAGGCACCCAGCTTTCTGCTCCCGGGGTCTGGGGTTTGCTCCTTTGAAACAAAAGCATGAGAGGCAAAGCAAACTGTAAAACAAGTAGCTGTGGATTAGACTGGTTTTGATTGCACTGATGAAAGAGTTCAAAAACTTTATTGACCTATAACCTGATTAGAATATGCCAGATGAGAACCAAATATTGTACAGAAAGTTGTACAGAATTTTTTTTACATAGAAAACTTTACATATCTGTACCATATACATTTTGTCCATCTGAAAAAAATTTCTACATCCATTGTAATACAGAATGCTTGACAATCTCGTCTGTTAACCATCAGAGCACAATTCACAGTATGAATACATTTCCAATAAATTTAACCATCCCCAAACCATGCCAGATTTGTTACTTGAATATATCCAACATTAAATTCTGTACATAAGAGTGAAATCTACATCAAACAAAAAACATCTGACAGCAGACACAACCTAGACTTGTTTGCAGTGATTCAAGTTCCAGTCCTTGAAGGATCATCATTTCAATGGCTCGTTATATTTAAAAGCCCTAAAACAAGTATATTACAGGTAGTTATGTCAGTCGTGATATTTCTACCGCTGTTCTTGACAAAAGTCGGCAACAATAACTTCTGGGCTACAATGAAACAAAACAAAACAAAAAATAACAAAAAAGGAAAAAAAAAAATCACAACCAAAAAAAGAAACCCAAACTTCTAGTGCATTTGGTGAACAAGGAAGAGTTATGGGCTTTCAACAAATCAGTAATACAGAAATAAAATAATTTGGGAAGAACTGTATAGTGTTAAAGAGTTTATATTACAGACCTGCATCTCTGTACATTTTCACAGAAGGATGATTACCAATGTCTCAGACAGCCTGAGTGTGCAAAAATCTTAGAATATCAGACATAGTTGCTAAATAGTTTTTTCCATGAACAATAATCTCCATTTTCTTTTCACTATAAACATTTTATCCTTCAAAACACAGCTCTCCTGAGTTGTACTTCTCGCAGAAGCTCAAACCTTTACATATATATGTTTCTTTGGGTACATTTTACTTTCACACCCTCCATAAAGATCTGTTGCTATACTGCTGTCTAGGACAGTAAAGGACACTGCAGCCCGTGCTGACAAGGGGACTGTGCTATAAACTGGCTCCGTGCTCAGCACGAGCCAGGCAAGAGAAATCGATGAGAGAATCCGCCAGGAAAGAGAGGGACTGGAGTGTTGCAAGCCTTAATTAAGTTTTAAGTGTCTGTACCGTTAACCCTTGGATACACGTTGCCAGAGAAAGAAATTTATATGGAGATCCAGACAGAATGGCCCAGCTACCTGGTCCTTTTATTTAGCTGAGGAATATAAACTTGGAAACAGAGCGTCACTATCTGCTAATGCTTGCTTATTCCAGACTCTTGTTCTGGTGGTTGGGATATTTGGAACACCACACCAATCCGCAGGAAAAACCTTCGCAAAACAGCTCGAAGCTCGGGAATAAGGTCAAACTGCATGATTTCACACAACAAAGGGTAGTAGAACGAGGCATGGGCCTTGAACTGAGGAGAAAACAAACAAGAAATGACTCTATTATACATCAGTACACCTCAGAAAGCACACTACAAAATACAGAATTACATACTCTCCCAAGTGCGGGTGAGAAACCCACAAAGTGACGGGCAGAAATACCTCACTTAATTATTTCAGCTGAGTTTTCTTAGAAACAGAGGGAAGTTAAACAGGGATTTATTTACTGCAGAATTACTTTGGAGAAGGTCAAGGTGTACATGTGCCTGCAGCACTGGCAGCAGAAACAAGAGTTAATTCTTTGAATAAAACATCATCACTAATTGTCTTCCTCAGCAGGAGAGGGTTGTTAAAAACAATTTAGCATACACTTCTAAAGAATTCCAGCATCTTTAAACTTCTCTGACATGTTTTATTTTATCACTCACTGCACCTTCACACTGAATTATTAGTGTATCTGTCAAATGCAGTTTGAATGTACATTCCCTCAACACAAGAACAAGAGCAGCAGGAGTTTTTAAAGTCAAGTCTGTAACTGTGTGTGACAAACCAGTCTGGACCTATGACTTACCTGTACACATCATCTGAAACATCATTCCAAACAGTTACTTACCCTTTCATCACTTATCTTCAGGACTTTAGTCAAAAATAAGAGTAAAAGGTTAGTCCAAGCTTCCCGATGACTTTCTGATGTAAGAGTGAGGAAATAGCTCAGAGCTTCGCTGCAGACACTGGAGACAAAAGACACAAAAAAATAGTAACTCACACTTCCTTCTGAACTCTACTGCAGAGGAAAAGCTTTGGCTTTGCAACTTCTGGCAGTGTAGAGCCCTGGTGTACAACAGCATTGTTTTATGAAAGCTGCTCTAAGCCTGGTAAACAACAGAAAGCAGTGACTTTGTTCAACTCAAACCCAAAGTCCTAGGATTTCAGTAATCACATTTTGTCAGCTTATTTATTATGCTGTTTGTATTGAGAGGTATGTGATAAAATGCTATATGGACTTTAGGAATCTCTCATGTTGATGTAACCTGGCAGTTTTCAGCTCCGCTTCCTAATCTGTGAACCTTAGAGTCTTGGCCTTAAGTATTGCTGTTGAGGTTTAAAGCCCTCTCTTGAAAACTTTATAAACAAAAAACATTCAGATCAATAGCCAAAGGCCTCTCTGTGCTCACAAGGCTGCTTAAGCCCAGTGTCCATTTCTGAAAATGAGAACAAATAGTGCCAGTTCCCTAAAATACCTGAGGTTAGTGAAAGAAAAAACAGGGTTTAAGTGATAGGTGCTTTCCTTTTTAAAGAGGAGCTATAATGAGCCCCCACCTACCCAAATAATTCAAAAAAAGCGACAAAATCTTTGTTCTCCCTTCAAGACATGTAATGAGAATAAAAAGGAGAGACAGTGCCAGTAGCTGGAGGCACAGCACTCCCCACAGAACATAAAACTCTTAATATTAGCTGTGACCTACCACACACACGTTAGCTCTGGAAGTTTACTGCAAACAGAGAAGGTCTATCCTTTTAAATAACCCACCCCCTTTCTTTAACATCAGAAATAACATGAACAGGTTCAGCTCCATGGACCTTACTTCAGCAGTCTTTGCTGGACTTCCTCCCAGGCGCTGGTGCGGCTCTCGTCCATGTACATGCGGAACAGGATGCGCAGCCCACAGGCCAGGCTGCTCGTCTCCTGCTTCAGCAGGTTGGGCTTTGACTTGCCTTTGAAACCTACAGGAGTACCAAGCATCCATTTAGATTTTTGGTTCAGCTGACATTCTTTCTTACTGTCCTCCCCACTTCTCCTTCTAAGCATCTACTGCACACAGACATAAGAACCACCTCAGGTAATTAACTTCTCATAATATTTAGTACTATGGAGCATTGCTAAGAATTAAACTATTTATATGTGCTATAACTGTGTGTTTGGCACCATTTTTGGCTTCCAAGTGGCTGTGAAACCTGTTTTTGTGCCTTCAGATTTCAAGCATGGGACTCATACCTACAGCCAAGAATCAGCTTAGCAGCTGTACCTCAGTGAAACCTTGAATTTTGGGAAACAAGAGATATTTGTATCTCCACAGATTAGATCTCCTCCCTTTAGGAATGCTACAGTTATAGAGCTAAAGCTTCAACTTTACATTTGCATCCAAGTACTTCTGACCTATTTCTGGGTAAATTCACACTGTCACAAAGTATTTCTCCAAGGGGACTGACTCACCTGCTTTCCAGAGAGCAGTTCTTTGTTCATTGTTTGAATTAAATGCTTTAGCAAATCTGTGAGATTCCAGCAGACAATCAAGAAGTTTGAAAAGCTGCTGTGATGTTAGGAAACGATACATCCCTTGATCCTGTGTATCCACATGGACATCAAAGTCTACTGCATCTCTCTATTGAAAAAAGAGGAAAAGGAGAAAAAAAGGAAAGATTTAAAGTAAAAATTCACGTCTGTCTTCAGCAAGCTCCTGTGATAACTCAATTCTACCTTGTTTACATCTGTACTTGTACTTAACACTGTATTCCAGGTTGTATCCACATCCCAGTTACATAAATCCCTTTGAACAATACATTTTAATCTCCACAGTGCTGCCTTGGCACAGCAAATGCAATTTAACCGAGGTTGTAAAAGATCTCAACAGCCCAATGGAAATCTTCAAACCCATGTAAAAATTGTAAATTAGCAATGAAGAGAAGTTCAAGAAATGTTATCTTAAAACCGTTGAAAGAAAAGGTATTAAAAAAGAGATACCTATCAGATCCACTTACTTGTGCTGCTGCTAGATTCTCAAGAACAATTTAACTTCAAGCACATGTGTAAACCTGGAATCCACCTGTTGGAATTACTAACCACAGGACAGATCACTGTTACCAACTGGAATGTTTTCTGAAGTTGTCTGTGATACACTGGATCAACCTAGCACAAAGTTACCTAAAAGTCAGCAAAATGAGTGACTTGGACCTTCAGTGCAATAGGAAGAGACAGAGGCTGTTCCCAGGCAGGAGGCTTAGCACAGCATTGCTTGTTTGCAGCTTGGCAAGTACTAATGTACCACGTGCCCATTTTAAGCAACAACACATAACTGCACAAGGATCTTAAATAAGGCTTTGATACACCCTCTTCAAATCACAGACAGAACTCTTTTTCAGCTACTGTTTCTGCTGCATTTTGAACCAAAAGATCTCTGCTCCTAAGAAAAGAAATCTCACACAGCATTGTAAGGAACCAAAAGATCTCTGCTCCTAAGAAAAGAAATCTCACACAGCATTGTAAGGAGACTACTGTTTTTAGTATTTTGCTTTGGATAAAAAGCCTAGAAGCTTGTAGTTGAACCCTTAAGGTTTTTAAAACACAGGCTGAAAACATAGACCCACAGGAGTCCAAGAGAATTCTGTCATACTACATGAAGACAAAAAATTAAACAATGTGATTTCTTCACACTGTGTTTCTGAAGTCATAGCTGGAGCTATAACTAATGTAACAAGCATCTACTATATACTACTCAGGCAGATATCAAATGCCAAACCACTGCAGAGCACGCACTTGCTGCTGGCCTGGCTTTACTCGTTTCTTCAGCTACCGTGGCCCCCGTGCTGGGTTGATATGGGCGTCCATCTGAAGATCGAGGCTGGATGGAATCGTGGATATCTACTGACTTCTGGGAGATTGTATCCTGAAAAGAAAGAAAAACAAATGAAAACTTCTAGTACAGAAAACTTCTAGTAATTGGTAATAGTGCTGTGCTCTTCAGAGCTCAAGACATTTGCTGTTTCAACGCTGCAATTTCATTCACTTTAGTCATATTTGCTATGAGCATTCATGAAAGATGTACCAGAAAGATGAGCTATTTAGAAACAATTGAAAATTTAACAAGTAACAAATACTTAAGTATACAGAAAAGGCAATGAGTAGCATTTTTCAGATATGTTTTTGTGTTCCCTCCAAGCATTTCAGTCACCCAAGAGTTACTACAGCTTTTACCAGACCAAGAGTAGGAGGTTTTGCTGCAAGGTTCCTGTAAAAAACACCTCAGCTTCTCATATCAGTAGATAAACAAGGTTTTCATCTCTACTAGGTAAAAATACATATTTTAATAGGTATAATATCTATATAGATAGCAAAACACTCCATCATATTTGAGCAACCTAAAGAAAAATGAGATTAAAATATCCAAAGCCTGCAAAGATTCTATCCTACTAAATGAGACATCCAAAATATTTTTCCTTTAGTATCATTTATTATAGAAGTTCTGTTAATTCTGAAGTTGCAAAGTATCTTTTTACACTGAAGACAAAAACAATTTTTAAAAACATTCATGTTAAACTATTTCAAAGGGAAAAGATCTTTCAACTTACTCAAGACTAAGACATTTATTTGCCATTTATGCATGGTATTATATTTGACATAAATGGATCAAAAATATAGCCAATCTGTTTAGATGAAACCACTATAAATGAGTCATGGTATAGCATGAAGCTACAATACCCTTATAATGAGAACTGGCCTTCACAAACATTTACTCCCTGTTTAAGCTGAATTATGTTAACACTTCATAAAGATAAATGGAGGAAGTCAGCCTCTCTTAGTAAAGCTCATTTGAGATCATTATCCTTGAGCAACTTCTATCAAGTGCTTCATTAATCTATAAAGAACTTTATACAGCAATCTTGTGAGAATGTCCAAAAGCTAAACTAATTCTCATCCGTAGCAAAGCAGTTACAGGGCTGTCACTTGCAGGCAAATCCAGACTTCACATCAGTTCACTCAATCAGCACTAAGATATCCGATGGTTATATGAATTTTCTACTTTACATAGATATTTAAGGTCTTATTACAAGAGAAAATTTGGAGGCAAAAAAAGAAAAAGTCAATCCAACTGTCAATCTTTCCCTCTTCAGCAGTTTCTCTTCTAGGGAGTACATCAAAATGAAAGAAAACCACGACTCAAGCCACAAAACAAGTCAAAGCCCAAATACAGTATTAGAGAAACTTGCCAGACACAGGAGATTACCCAAAACAAACACAGGTAACTACCTACAGCCAATTTCTGGAAGTCAACTTTGCTGCTAACAAACACATACTTCTTTATCAATTAATCCCTTGCCATTTTTAAACATTAAACAGCACTTGAGCTGGGAAAAAAATTAAAGTAAATCAAAATTGAAAAATGTATTCAAAACACGTTTATTTTTCACCTATTCTACATCACAAGACAGCTGAGTTCTTGCAGTCTTTAATTACTGTTTTATTTCAGCAGCTTACCAGTTTTTCTTTTGCATCAGAGGGAGAGCCAGAGCAGAACTCCCCACCGACAGGTCGCCAAGTCAGCAGCCTTGAAAACACAAAACCAGATTTACTAAGTTTCAAATATAAATGGGAACCAACACTCTAAGAAGTCCCTTCAACATGGTGTGGGTTTTTTGCATTAATTTCAATTCTAAGTGCACTTTATTCTTTCAGACATGTTTAAAAGTGTAAGTACTGTGTTAGTTGAATGTCAACATTCCTGCCAACTACCTTGGATGGACAAGTGGACTATATCGAGGTGGATTAGTTTTTCTCAGATACAGGATTTGTCTTCAGGCAATGTTTTAGTGCCATTAGTGGGCCTCTTCTCCCACACTGCCTTAAGCTTGACCTAGAATAAGGAATGAATCTACACCAGTACAAATCACATGAACATTTGGAAATGTTTTGCATTCGCTGTCTGGGGTATATTCCAGGATTAAGTTTCTATTTCCACTTCAAAATTCACCACTTCCACTCAGGATTCATTGCTGTTATGAGGTATCAAATATCACTGACAATACTTCTGATCTTTTCCCTGCTGATTTCCTATAGGACACTGCTGTATTTGAGGATTTTAACCTTAGCGCTGAAAATTTTTACAGTAACACACTGTCTGTGCCTGCCAAGAATTGAGGAAAATTGGATTAAATAACCTAAGTTGTCCCATCATTTCTTGTTCTATCCAATCCACTGCTGCAAAATAAGATTGAAGTTACTTGTCATTGTCATGACCTCAAACTCTTTACTCTCAATCTGTGCGAGGTAACACATTGGACATTGGTGTCTGCATTTCCTAAGGGAGAGCATTCTCCACCAAGTTAAGCATCCTAAATGAATATACCACTGATATCCAGAAAACTGAACGCTGGATAACTAAAAAGACAGATCAGAGATAAGAAAATATAAAATCTCGAGGTAGGTAATAAGGCAACAAACAAAGCAGAACAGAGAACTGAATTAATTCTTGAAAGCTGCAAGGACATAAATCAAGGTATTGGGATAATGAGCCAGTAGAGGCCAGACCATCATAATTTGTGCAAGGAACTAATTCTCTTGAATTTTTTGATGACAAGCAGGTATTCACAGTGGATTTCTCAGCACCAGAAAGCCAAGACTTGCTCTCATGAAGCTTCAGAAAATTTAAATTAATGAAAACTATAAACAGAAGAGAAATAAACTAAAAGAAAAATTAAAGAAACTATTAAAATAAGAAAAAATTAATGAGCTAGACGAGCAAACAGTGAGGTGGACTGTAAAACTGACTGAACAGCTGAGCCAAGAGGATGGTGATTAGGTGCACAGAATATGGTTGGAGGCCAGTGGTACACCCCAGGGATCAATGCTGCATCCAATCTGTCCATCCTAATGATCTGGCTGATGAGGCAGAGAGGACTCTCAGGAAGCTGGATACCACAAAAGTAGGAGGAATGGCTGATACACCAGAGAGTCATGCTGCTATCCAGAGGGACCTCCACAGGCTGGAGAAATGGGCTGATGGTAACCTTGTGCAGTTCAATGAGGGAATAACCAAGTTCTTCACCAGGAGAGGAACAAGCCCATGCTCCAGGATGTGCTGGGGGGCTGCCCAGGTTGGATATGAGTGAGCAGGGTGCCCCTGCTGCAGAGAAAGCAAACGTTATCCTGGGCTGTGTGAGGAGAGGTGAGAAGGGGAACCCTGGCCTTCTGCTCAGCATGGTGGCCAGTCCTGGGCTCCACATTTTGAGAGACACAGACCTACTGGAGAAAGTTCAGCAAAAAGCCTTGGAGGTGAAGAAGGAACTAGAGAATCTCTCCTATGAGAGAGTCTGCGACAACAGGAACTGTCCAGCCTGGAGAAGAAAAGGCTCAGGACATCTTATCAACATACTGCAAGTATCTGAAATGTGGGGGCAAAGCAGAGCCAGGCTTTTTCCAGTGATGCACCAGGCCAGGACCTGAGGACAAACACAGGAGGTTTCCCATGAGCATTAGGAAACACTTTTTCACTGTGAGAGTGATCAAACACAAGGCAGAGGTTGCCCAGAAAGGCTGTGGAGCTTCCCTCCTTGGAGGTATTTGAAAGTCCTGGGAAAACTTCTCTGGGCGGACGTGCCTAAGCACAGGGGTTGGACCACAAAACCTCCAGAGCCCTTTCCAACTTTAGCCATTCTGTGTCATGCTGTATTAGTACCTTCAGCTATCAACACCTCAAGCTTGGCAGCTGTATGGTCTGTGGTTTTTTAGTAACTGATGCTTGCGGAAATTGGTAGCCAGTGAGTAAATATTGCCGTAGATTTTCCAAACAAGGAAATACGATCAACTCTCTTGGCAAAAAAGTAACTTGCCAAGAATCATCAGAGGCTGATACTGGAACTAAGATCTCAGGCAGCCAATGTTGCAGCTCTTAAATTAGAGAAGCTGCTCAACACCTGGAAGATGTTTCATATGAATGCTAAAAAAGAACAAATGTAACCCTACCTGATCAGAGTAATAAGAACTTCTGCCAGAAGATACTCTACACTCCACAGATTTGTAGGTTCTGACTATTTGAAGACAATAAAGCACTTGCCCATAAAGTTTTCATATATACCACTGTGTGATTTGTCTGTCTTCATTTCAATATTAATAATTGTGTCACTTCCAGGCATGGAAAAACAAAGGTAAAAAGATCATTTGCCTTCTCTAAGCACTGAGGCAGCCACCATAACAAGCTTCGTATCAAAAATACAATGTCAAAAGAAAATAATAAAAAACTAAGGAAGGGAGGGCAGGAAAAGCTCCATTGCAAAAAAAAAAAAAAAAAAAAAAAAAGGCTAATAGAGGGACTAAGAAATATAAATATGAAATGTCAGCCAAACCAGGACTCTCAGAAAAAGACCGAGATCCCAACAACAAAAGAGAGAAAGAAAGAAGTATCCTCCTAGAACTCAGAAAGAGAAAAAGGTGAGTACCCTCACATAAAATCAAAGTAAGACTACAAAAGTTGGGAACCTCACAGAAATTTAAGAAAGGATAATATAATGAAGTTCTCAAAAGGTGGCATAGAAAGATTGTAAGAGAAGTGAAGAGAAACTTCTTAAAGGAAGGAGTTGGATACTCTCCAAAGAAAAAGAACCCATTTGAGAAGCAGAAGGGCCTCAACATCAAAACGAATAATGCACATATTTCAAGTTAGATATAACTAAAGGCAACAGGAATATTTTGAGTATATCTAAATATTAAGATATCCAAAATGCTGCTCTAGAAAGGTTTCTAATATTCAACTATAAGAATACACTGAAATTTAAGTTTTGATCATATGCTGACACCAAAGCAAATGTTCTGCTACTTTCCAAATACAGGCCATAATAAGTCAGGGTTAATTCAGCTGGATTTTTACATCCAGAGATTTGGGTTCCAATTTTATTTTTGGCAGTTACCAAAATGCAGAAGTATCTTGCTAGTTCTCAAATATTTAATCTTCATTTTATAATTATTTTTGATGTCATTAATTTATACCTACTTACATAAAAAGAAAGGTAAGGCAGTTACAGGTTTTATCCTTTAATGGATGAATGAAGCTTTCTTACAGTGCTATCTGATATACAACTCTAAAATTAAGCAAAGACTGACTTGAAGAAGGTTCATTTTGTTTCAGTTTTCTACAGGCCTAAAGTAGGTCCCAGAAGCAAACAATATGAACTGGATGAAATACAGCACTTGGAATGGTACAGCCTTACTCCAAGAAACCTCACACAGAGTTGTTATATGAATGGAAAGGGTTACCGCACATCCAAGGTAATTTTCACAAAAATATTAAGATTCATATAAATATATGATGGAAATTAACCATAAACCACAGAGACTTAAATCTGTAAGACTGTTGCAGTATTTCATGGAAAAAGCTCCAGATGTAATTAGAAACAGCAAAGCCTGCATCTTCTATTACAAAAAAGAAAATAACAAAAAAAAAATCAGATAGTACTTCTCCAGAAATCCAAAACTTTAACACTGATTCATGTTACATTCGGGGGGCTGTTGGGGATTTTTTTTTTGCTTATCTCCTATAAAGTATTTTAGTTTTTAACACTTTATCATTAACAATGCAGAAGAATACCTACACCTAATTTATTAATCATGTTACAAGTAAGTCTGTTTCTCCTTAGTCCACACTTACCAGCTTTTTATTCACCCCACCTATGAGATATCTAAGAGTCTGAAATGGATAAATCTAGGTATAAATCTCTTTTACAAAGTATAAATATTAATAGTTGTCTTACGCATGAGGGATTGTAGTTTTGAAAATATCCAGCATGCAAGTGCAAGTTTTATCCCAGATTTCTAGGGTAAACTTTTCACCATTAAGGATGACAACATTCTCCAAACAGTTTGTACCAGATCGTGCCAGTTGTTCATTGTCTGTAAGAGACAAAGAGTGTATTTGTTTATTCACACTTAACACAGTAAAATGTTGACATTGTTTTAACATCATTTGTACAGTTCTTACCTTGCTGCACACACCAGTACAGCTGTGCAAATATATCATCCAAAAGAACATCACTAAGTACTTCTAAATACTGTGTAAATACATCACATATTGCATAAAGTGCATGGTTACAAGTAGTTGTCATCCATTCAGCTTTCTATGAGTCAAAAAAAAAAGCAGAATTACAACCTTAATGTGAAACTTCTGGATACATATATAGATGAACATTCATATTTACTCAATTTGCTTTACAGTGACATAAAATTCATTTCTGTATCTTAAAACCTCAAGATCTGGAGCCTCAAATCCTGCTTTGCTAGCTAGCAGGTTTAAAAAGAACTACAGGAACATACAAACAAGCGTCTTAGTGTCCAATTCTAGCTCACTGATTTAACACCAAGCTAAAGCTGTGTTTACCATTTTCCAGGGAAAAAAATTACAAAGTGAGACATGTCCAACTACAAAGTGTCAGACAAAGCCTCCCAAACAATTGACAATTTTGATCTATCTTCTAATACTAATAATTTACACATTCTAAAGCCCATTTCAATTGTTTTTCAGAACAGTACCTGGTTCTAGTTTGGCAGACCAAAAACCAGATGGCTGGTCAAAAGTGTGCAATGACAGCATAGTGCTGTTTTGGGTGGTTTTTGTTTGTGGGTTGGTTATGGGGTTTTTTGGTTTCTGTTTGGCTGAGAGGTATTTTTTCACCTTGTCATCAAAAATTTTTGAACTAACAAAACTCATTTCTTCTAACTGTAACTTCACTGCTGATTATAAGCCTCACTCAAGTGAGCATGTTGTGTGTCTCAGATTCCTAACATCACACGTAACACCTACAGTTACAAACCCTAAATACACTGCATTTTATGCTATTCTTCTGTTGTTCCTAGTGTAAACTACCAGGCCTTTGAGACACATAGCTTTAAAAAATGAAAAAAGTAATAGCACCTGCCAACAGAATGCCATTAAAACAAAACAAGGCTACTAGAACCACTGGTCCACCATCCAAGTTTTGAGGTTTACCCTACATTACTTGACAAAGCTATATTACAGGTTTTCTACTGTAAATGTAGTTCTCATGTAAATTATCTTCCTCCACTTTTATCACCTCAGTCTGCTGTTCTGGCAGTTTCATGTTGTCAAATATCCTGAAGACAATCCGAAACAGATCTTGCCACCAGTGTTTCTCATAAGTATGGCCATATGTCTTCATTATTTCAAACATTACTGTTAAGCCCCTGAAATGAGGAAAGAACAATTTATACCAAGAGTTACAGAAAGATATGAATGAGATCAACTAAGTACAACTACAGCAGCAATAACAAACTCAGATACTGTTGAGAACATTTTACATACATGACTACACAAAATATAAGTAGAAACTCAGCTTGTAAAAAAAACCCACTTTTTAGTCCCATGCAATAGCCAAAAAAGAGAAAGTTGAGAGTTGTGGTAATTTAAAATTAATAAAGTAAACCAACTCCTTTACCAAGGGCCACAAAAATTAATAAACAAATATTTCTGTTAAAAAGTACAAAAGTCTAGAAACAAGTATTAACCTTCACCAGCTACAAAGGGAGGCCACATGCACAGATCCCATGCCAATGTGTAAATTTAGTTATTTGTGTACAATCCCTCATATTTCACATCAGAACTGCAACTGAATATACTTTACAAGGGAAAATAATTTTCCAGGAAAATAAGCAAGTTTTACATGAGATCAGAGTACAGCTTTGCTTCTTGTAACCATTTCTGCAATCCTCAACCACTTAATGAATCATGGTATAAAACCAGTTTTAAAATCCCCAAGGTAAGTAGGATAAGCAAGACACAGAATGCAATCACAATCATATAACTTTGTTGTTTATTATAATAGAAAATCAAAATTTCCAAAGTACAGAACACAGACTTAATTTCTGTATTCCAATGTCTATTTAAAAGGCATTTATTGTTTCCACAGTGCTATCACCCAAATTAAATACTTAAGTAATTTTACAGGGATTACATTTACCAAGAGTTGTTTTTATTTAAAAAGTATAAAGCAGGCCTCTTAAAATTTGAATTACAAATACTGATTGTTACCTGGTTCTTACATCTAATTTGCATCTATTGATGATACAGGACAACTCAAAGAGAATTGGGAACCATCCTCGCACCCACACTCTGTCTTCAGGAGCTACATTCATATCGTCACTTGTGTACTCCTTGAATGCCTTTAGAAGGAAACACAGAGTTATACAGCCATAGAAGTTAGATTCTTCAAAACAAAACACAGCTGGACTGTAAATAACAATCTCTCCTGCAAGAGTATTACACCCTGACACCTCAGATGAATTGGCAATCGAAACAGTAACACTGAGAAAGTGTTTTTCAAACTAATGCTTATGAAGAATAAACCTAAAAAAATAAACAGGATTACACATTTAAGCATCAGTTTTTGCTTGCAGCTTAGTGTGAGTCCATTGCTCTTATTTTTACAGAGACAGCTCTGAAAGTGAGGATCCAACCATAACATTTTGAGGGTATCAAGCATTTTTGGTTATGCCATTATCCATTTCTTTACATTTCTCAGTGGAGAGCAGATTCTGAGATATGCTGATTTCCAACAGCTCTCAGGAATGCTAGTCACCAGCTGAAACTGGGTGGTTGGTAGGGATGGGCAAAAGGGAATAGAAGAAGAATAGAAAAATCACCCTTACTTTCCAAGCCTGCATAATTTTATACTCCAATTGTTTCTGAATAAAGTACATTTCTAATGAGAAAGGTATTTTCCATGAAATCCATGAAACTTGAAGGGAAAGCAGTAAGTTTAGCATAACTACTTTTTTTCTTTATAAAAGCACTTATAATTTAGTTAACATAGACTATACCTGAGGCCTGTCAGACACATATTTTGCACAGTGGCGAATGAGGCGGATCGCTTCCATACTGGTATCTGGAAATGCTGCATTGCAGGCAAATTCAGACAAGCACTTCACTGCATCCTGGAAAGAATCTATGGTTGCTGGGAAGTGTTTTTCAAACACGATTGCTGAAAGAAAAGTGTGAATACGAGAAAAAACGTGTCATGCTTTAAAATCTATTAATTCTTATATGAACTGTCTGTAACAGAAGTCATCAGAGACTGGTTCATTGATTGGTGCTGTCAAATGCCTGAGTAGTAAGAAAAACTAAAGAAAAATAAAGAAAACAAAAAAACATTATCCAGAGGGCATTTCACTTTGACAGTGAGTGTTTAAAGTAAATTAATCTAGACTAAAGCAGGGAAATGTAACAGTTAAGCAAGACCAGACTAACAGGCTTACTATTTAACACTAGTCTGTGTCACCAGAGCTTAAGAGGGATGCATGAAGCATGGAGTTCCACCTACTAATGGACCTCCTCCCCAGCTACATTTTGCCTTGTTTTTAAATAGCTGCTTTTGAAAAAAAAAGTGCTTAATCAATGATAAAACAGTTTCATAAACTTGCAGAGGTTCAGACAGAATAAAGAGATCCCGTAAAGCCTGGGATCGAGATTAGAATAGAGAGAGACAAAAAAAAATATCATAGTACCCCCCTAGTTCTGCACTGTCTCCTAAACAGGCCTTACACAAGCACAATTCAGAAACACAGAAAATGACAAGCAAACAACATATTAGTAAAATATGTACTTTTTTTTTTTCCTATGGAAAATGCCAGAAATAATTAAATAAACACTTAAATAAAAATGTACACATTAAATAGAATTATCTAATGCCCGAGTTGTTTTACTACAGAACACTACAAACAGGTAAGTTTTTTTTAAAAGGCATAAAGAAAACCAGTGACTCTAATCTACTGAGTGATTTTTATAAGTATTTTCCCAGAGGACTGATTGGGACGTGTAAATCATTGGTTCCAAGACATGAAGCAGGCTCTATTATGCAGGCTGTGAGTCCAGAGGCAAAGCCTCTTGGGCTCTGGAGTGACACTCACTTCCATGACATGTGAATATGGTTTATACTCACTGACAATGTGTCCTGTAGTCTGGAATGCCAGTTCCACTATACTTTCATCCTGATCTGAAGCTGCCAGATGAAACACTGAAAAAATGTTTTTCCAGCCAGAACGAATGTTAGCAGCCTGGGAATTCACCATCTGTGCAATGCACCGTACAACCATGTCTCGAATAGTAGGAGACCTATATTAGGATAATAAACAATTTTTAAAAATCAATTACATAATCAATTAGAATAGTATAAATCTCTAACAACTGATTTTACAAAAGCAATTTGAAACATTAATTACAAAAGCTGATGTTTGTGATGCCAAGCAATTCAGTTAATTGTATGTTATTACCTGTTTCTCTTCATGATATGTTCAAATGGTCTTAGGAAATCCTTCTGGAATCGGAAATTAGCAAGTTCTCCTTTTTCCAAGAACTTCATTGACAATTGCCTTAATGAGTCTACTGCAAAAATAGCTACATCTTCATTGGGATTGCAGCCAACCTGAGAATGTAGAATAGAAATGCAGAGTAAGCTTGCATCAGAATCTTATGGATTCAGCACAAGCTGCCTTTACAGTTGATAGCAGAGAACTAAGCAGTACAGGAAAATTAATGAAATAAACAGTAGTCAATTCCAGAAACCACACTGTTTATACAATTCAATAATCCCTAACTAATTCCAGCTATTTTCTACATTAAATAACCTGGCATTTAAAACCCTCTAAAAACAAGCAAGCTGTCTGTCTTCAAAATCTGTATTAAAAGTGCATGTCAAACATTCATTTGATAAACAGTCAATTTAGACTCGAAAACAAACTCTTAAACCAAGCATCATGAAACAGCCCCAAAAATTGCAATACAAAACTAACAGCAGCCAGTTCTGGACACAGGTCATGATAAATAATTTAATGTATACTTCTGTTTTTATATTTGTTATACTGTGTACTTCTGCCTTCTTGCAGGTCTTTCCAGCTTTACAATTTTGTTGGTTTAAGTTTACAGAGAAGGACAGAAAAACCATTTTGATTCATATAAGCACATGATATATTTATTTTCCAATAAATCTCAAAATAAAATAATCTGTATCAATAACTGAAGGACTATGCACTATAAGCATTAACAAGGATACCTTATTAAAATGATCTCCAATAACTTCCCAGATCCTAGACCACTGTAGCCTTATCCGGCCCATGTTGTAGTAAGAAATCTCTACTATCTTCTGCAGACTAAACATTCGAGGGTGGGTAGCAGACAGCAGCTCATCCATGGACACAGCACAAAGCCAGCGAACGAAATCCACTGTTAAATGACCACAGATTTTAATGCAATATTTTTTCAGTGTTTAGTTTACAGTGGGGAGGGGTAGGGAAGAGATGAAACCTACCAATAGCATTTCCATCCAACCTTGTAGATCCCGTAAATATTCTGTAAATTGCAGTTGAAGACATGGTTAAAATTTCTTAAGAAAAGCATGTGTTAAATCTGATCAAGTTTCCTTGTCTTGTTTTCCTCAATGATATATAGACAGTCTCTGATTACCTTTATTTATTTAAAAACAGTTAGTAATGTAAAGACATAGTGAGAATACTGTCAGCTTCTATCATCCCTGATCCAAATACAGAACTCAAACATCTCCAGAGTACACAATATCCATTTGTCATGACAAGTAGATATTTGAAACACTTCCCATTATGAAGCAGGGAGGGACACTGCAAACTTAAACATCTATTACATGTTTGACATCAAGCTTCCAGTGCACCTGATGTGATTTTACTTCAAGACAACTTTTCATTGAACTGACATCCATCTTACCGCCTGTATTTCAACCACAGAAGTGTTTGTAAGCCTTCAAAATGATACCTCTTCATCAATTTTGACAACCATTAAGAAAATTATATGTTCTGATCTCTTATATGCTGAGCAAGCAAGACCCATGAACACTTTGGTCTGATCGCTACTGTAGGATATAAATAGGGAATGCTCACAATATGTATTCTGCCTAGCCAAATCCCGTTAAAATAAATGTGATTCATAGAACGGAAGACTGGAATAATAATTTTGGTCATTTCAGACATCATCTACATAACCTAGAGGAAAGCAGGGAGTCAGTAATTAAATTTAGGAGAAAAAGGGTCTGACAATGTCCTCAGTACAAAGCCAAAATGAGATTTGCTATTACTATATACAGTAAATCAAGATTCACAGACACTACAGCAGACTTCATTCTTTATTCAAGTCTTCTTTAGTAACTTTTTTATCAGTAAAAAAGCTTATTACGTAATCTTCATTCTGCTCCCTCTTTCAGAAACACCCATGATCCAAAAAAATAAAAATCTGTCCCCCACCAACTGAAAAGCACTTCTTTATGGTAGTTTTTATGTACTCTTTTCCAAATAAAGAAGGTCATTTTCTTAGCACAAGGTATTCAAATACTGCTTAAAAAAATTTCAGATGGAAACAATCAATTTTATACAGTACCTGTCTACAGCAACAACAACGCTTTGGGAGCTAGTTTCACCAATGGATTCCTGAATACTTGCTATCTGCTTCCAATCCACATTTCCACCAACTACAATGAAAAAAAAATTGAAAAATGGGTAAGAAAGAATATAGAATGGGTTGGGAACAAAGAAGAAGAAAAGTTGTGCCACTACCAGTATAATTAAATATATTTTTAATTCACAAAAAAGGGAAGTACATTATGAATTTCCCTTGCATGAGCTGGCCATCTCAGTGAACAGTTGCATGTTGGTGTAAGTCCTAATTATCCTAATGACCTAATTATTCTTCTCTATCCATATATAAATTATATTAGTCCCCAAAAACTGTCCACATTTAGAGCAACAGATACAAATGAAAGAAATAAACCCCACAAGAATCACCTTTTTTTTCCTCCATTTTTCAATCAACCTTTGGAAATCTTGCCACTTAGAACACACAATATATGACTGAGAATATAGCTTAGAGGAGAATTTTTCACACTTAATTACCATCAAGAGAGTAAATCCATCCCAAAAAATTTTATTTCTTCTCATTCAGAAAGAAGAGCTTCCACCAAAACTCCATCTTTAAGCTACATCTCAATTACAGCAAAATTATCACCCCAAAATAGTGAGAAATATCTATAAATAAAAATAGCATTTATTTATTTCCGAGGATGGAAACTGTAACCCACATCTGGGAATGTTCATATGAAGAAACTGCTAACTTTGCAGTGAGAAAAATCCCGAAATTTTTAGCAAAATCCAATCTTCCCTTGAACTACCATCAAAAAAAGAGCAGGAATCTTGCAACCACTCTGGGTAATTCCACATACCCTGTATTCAGGGCTTTTTTTCCCCCCAGCAATATAGAAAAGGAGACTGAAAGAGGCAAGTAGTTCTGTTCTCAGAGGTTTGCTGAGAGAAAAGCTTCTCATATTCAGCCTGCCTCTGTCTTGATGTGCTTCATCCCCACTTGGAAGGCGGCTGGAGATGGCTGTCAAATCTATATAACCTGACCCACCTGAAGTACTTTCCTAGGGCATTTATGGAACAACTTCTCTGTACATACATATGTACCCACACACTTGTATCTTAGCAATTTATAATACCACTGGGTTTGGTCAAGACTTCTCTTGTAAGCACACAAGCTGCCAGTGTCAATTAGCTTGAATCTTGCTAACGAGTCAGGTAAGAAACACAGCAAACGAGCAGCTGACTGTGAGGAGAATTTGAAGAGCTATTTCCAAGGAGTCAAAACCTTAACCAACTCCAAGAGTTTACATGAGAATTCCTTGTGATCACAGGATTTGTAATGCAAAGCTTGAAAACCTAAACAGACAGGAGACTTAGACTCTAACAGCTGTGAAATCTTTCACAATGAAACACAGGAGTCAGTTACATAACAGCTTTACAAAAAAGAGACTCCTCAGATTCCCACTGTTCAACGAGGATTTCTGGTTACCCAGGAAGTACACTTTGGCTATGACCTACTCACAGCAGCAGGTTTTGTCTTCCAACTTCGTGAACAGAAATTGACATAGAAGAAATGTGAATTTCACAATTACAATTCCAAGTAAGGCAACATTCCTACCAAAGGAGAAATAGACTAGATGCTTATTCATTTACTTTTACAACCCCGATGCTTGTGATGTTTTGAATTACCAAGTACAACAACAACAACAAAAAGGGTCACAACAGGAAGGTAATACAAGAGATGACAACTTTTGAATGCAGATGCCTGAACAGCCACACCTGAATCCTTGCTGAGTCAATAAATGAGCAAAGGAGCTTTTGCATCTGGTTTCGTTGATCTTTGTTATCTTAGAAAACATAACATAACTTTACCAAGAAGATTGAGTGCTACTGCTTATCCACATCTGATTTTGCTAGTAGGTCTGAAAGATGGAGCTTCTGTGTCACCAGACTGCAGCTTCACTCACTCTAAACAACTATTTTCCTGTAAAATATGTGTCTGTGTATAAGGACATACACATTGTGTATTCTTTAAAGGAATTTAGCTTTCTAGAAAGCTCCTTTGAAACCTGTAGTTCCAATGCATACTTTGGAGTAATCATGGAAGATGAACCTATCTGCAAAAAAGGATTTATGGAAAGAAGTAAAATAACTAAAACAGTTGAGAAAATGTTCTAACAGCCCCTTAGTGCATGAAAACCAAGTTAAGCATTTTCCTATAAGATTGAAGCAACAATATTAAAAAAAAAAAAAGAAAAAAAAAAGAAAAAAAAAAGAAAAAAAAAAGAAAAAAATGGTGAAGTTTCCATATGTGCACTGTAACAAGCATTCCAAAATTTTGATTCAGAGAAAAACATTTTATGCACTGGGGCATAAACTGTTTTCCCTAGAAATGTAGCTGACAGCAGCAAAAGGTCTTTATGAGCTGGACCTATACCAATGACTGGTAAGTATGATTTAGAGACACCTGAAAACCATTTACATTCTTGAGTTATGAGGACTTTAAACCTTTAAAGGCCAGTCACTGCAGCATAGAGAAACTGCCAGCATTTGGAAGTAGCCAAGTTGCACAGGTCATCAGGGAACACTAAACTGAAGGATGCATATTGAAAGGGCAGGAAGAAGCTCAGAATATGAGATGTTGGCAGACTCATTGATTTCCAGGCCTAAGTTTTCCCTTCATCAATTTTTGGCAAGGTGAGGGGAGTACAGAGAGGCAGGCCAAAGGGGAGCAGAAGGGAAATAAAAGGAATGACTGTAGAAGAAGAAAAACTGTCTGAGGAGAACACAAAGATGAATTATTAGGACTAGTTTGGGAGCTAAGATCAGGGGAAATAGGAAATTAATATTACTCAAAAAAAAAGTTACACGAAAAACTGAGGCTTGTTTGGCTGTTGGTGAAGTTCAAAAAGGCAGGAGACACTGAGCATCACACTGTAACTGAAACTTTCTCATAGTCAAAAACACTTATATACATACTTCGATGTTTCCAGAGTTTTTTAATGTCCTATATCCTACACCTGTATATCTTTAACTGTGTTCCCATTTAAAACAAACAAATAAAAAAAATCCCAAACCTTCTAAAGATAAATTTAAGGTAAGTCTTATACTTTTATAAGAAGATAAGAAACATCTCATTTTTTGCAGTATATTTTGGTGCTCAAGCCTAAAAAAGGCACTTACTCAGTACTGAAGTAACCAGAATAGGAAAGAAATGGAATTTCAGAATTTAAGCTAAATTCATCTCCCACTTGGTTTGAATTCTGTGTGTGTCTCACAAAGCTCCACAACAGATGCTTAACCTACACATACTGACTTACTTGCTTGGTAAAATACTTGGCACACTAATGTTGCAATATTATTAAATCTGGTCATACCATCTGCAATCCATTCTTAGTTGGAAAGCTATATTTTAATAGAAGTGAATAATATATATAATCATCTTAAATTTTCCACCCCAGCAATAATAACAGAGCAAACTAAATATTCCAGAAATTGGAATACATCTAGTCAAAGCGTAAGTTTTACAAGGACTACTTCATGGTCTTTTGTCAGAACCTCACATAAAAACACAGAATAAATTTAATTAGTTCTCTGAACAAAACCAGTTAAATGAAATATTTCATATTTGCATTACTTACCCAGTCCCAGCCCCACAAATTCATCAGGTGCCTGATCTTTTGTTCCAGTAAAAGAACCTTCCCTGCCGCGCACTGTCCCTGAGATGTAGCGAGGTTTTACTCCAGTTCCTATTAACTGTGCCAGTTCAAGTTGACTGATGCATTTCAGAATCTATTCCAGAGAATAAAGAAGTTGTTTACCAACAAAAAGCAGGTAAAGATCTTTAGAAGAAAAAAACTCTAAACACTTGAGGTCAGAAAATCTGTTCTTTTGTCTAAAATGAATATTAATTTAAATAGTACTGGATTTGTCTCTCACAGTTTTATTTCTCACTTAGGCATGTTTTACTACTTTAATTAGCTGCATAATGTATGCAACAAAACTATACATGCAGCACTAACCTAAATCCCACAAGTAAGCAGACTACGGTGCTGAAAAATCAGTGAACATGCTTTTGTACAGTTTAAATAGAAATGACTCGTACCTCATGCCAGGAATTTCCTAAATAGTTTCCATCTGTATGAGCCACCGTGATGAGAGTTTTAATGGTGTCAATATTCTTCTGCTTCATTTCAGTAATACCAGAACTCACTGTAAGCAATGTAAATCTTGCTAATGCTTGAACATAGGCATCTCTTTCAAGCTACAAACGGGAGGGAAAGAAACAAATATCTCATAAATATTTTTGCCATTTTTTGTTCTTAGCGCAATCTCTGTGATTTCATCAACTATACAATATACCTTTCTCTTCCTAGAACTGAATTTCCAAAGCATAGTGAAAATATATCAAGTTCTGCACCAGTAAGAAGATATCTGTAGGATGAAATCAGGGTCCTTCTGGTTTAGGAACAAGAAGTGTAATGTCTGACAGCATAGAATGCAAAAGTTGCATTTAAGTTTCTGGTTTGATCTTTTTTTGGGAAAACAGGATGTTGTTTCAGAAGCAATGTTGCTACTTAGCCTAGCTTTCAATATTCTTGTACTATACTCAGACCTAATCTGAAAATGCTGCCTTTAGCAGACTCATTTAAGTTTACACATTTTTTGTCAGCAAAATCTAAAAAATGTATCTAAATGGCCTGTTATGACAATTCCATGGAATTTCTCAAAAGCTATTTGATTTAATCCACATCATTTGGAGCACCACAGAAGTTTCTGAAGCAAGTGTCATGGGTAAACAGCAAGTGACCATAATCTAGACAGACCTCACAAAAGAAAATTCTACCCAGTTACCCAATTTTTATGTGTATGGTATCTATAAGCAACAAAGGGAACTCCTCAGATCTCACATGAACATTTACCATGAACAATGGTAAAAAGTGGATTACAGTTGAGCCCACAAGTGCATTTGTTCTTCTGTTATGTATAAAGTGAATGCTGTAAAGTGAAATGGTTGTACACCAGATAAACAAATGACAATTATGAAATATATTTAACTGTTTGGATATTTAGGGCTGTTTTTAAGTAAAAAATCATTGAGCATGGAAAGCAGACAGATACAAAATATTAACAAAAAAATCCAGGAAGAATGGGACTCCACAGAGAAAACATGAACACCACAACGGTGGAATATGGTAGAAGGGAAATATTGCCACTGAGCCACTGATCACACTATAGCTGCCACATTCAAACCACTACTGCAAGGTATGCTGGCAAAGGAACAGAAAATGATGCAGAAGCACAGAAAAATGAAGTCTCAAAGCAAGTACTAAGTACTAAGCAATGAATCTTTAGAATCTACAAACTGTGTATCTTCCAAAAAACCCAAAATGCTTTCAGTTCTACTCATTCACACAGGTATTCCCCCCTCCCCTTTTTTTCTCAGCTTCTCCTAAAGCAGAAGACAAACAACTAAATAATGTGTCTATCACTCAGAAATTTTAACCTAATGATATAAGCAGATTAAGTACATCCTTTTGATGCATACCTTGTCTCAGATGCTTAAAGACAAAAGTCAGACTGTGTGACAAGTCTAAGATTAAAGGCATAAATAATTAAAACCAGAATCTATAATTGAAGTTTTAGAGGTGAACATGCATAAACTTCAACTATATTGTGCACTTTGGAATTTTTCTTAAAATTAAAGGCATACAGGCCCCTCCATTATCTCTCAAGGTGTGTAAGCAAATGTAAACTCTTAATAGACACCAATCTTAATTTCTATACATTTACACTATGAAAACTGTAAAGTTGCCATCACTGGTTAAGCACACGAGGAAAAACTTCATTCCAACAGAAGAGACCCTTAAGTCTAAAGTAAAATCTTAAAGCTAAAGTACAGATGTGCCAGTCTCCTTCAAACCACCAGAGCTATCTGGTGTCTGCAGCCAGACAATATCCCATCTAATCAAGACCTTGTGAACTGGAATCATCCTGTAATATTGAAATAATCAACAAACCAGTACTGTTTTTAATTATATCAACAAAACAGTTTCCACAGAAAATGAAGCAGTAATAAGGTTTATACTGAAAATGTAAAAGCAAACTTTCCCATTTTCTGAAATTTAAAAACTGTTTTTTGGAAGACATCCAATCATGTCCCAGGCCAATGGAAGGGTACAACTGAGTCATAGGGATCCTAGAGCAAACATGTCCTTGCCCTCCCTATGCAAGGCTGACCATTGCAGGACTAGAAACTAAACTCTGCAGCTATTGAAACTGGTATTGGTACCAGTTCCACTTTTGCAGCTTAGAAACAAAAGTAACCGGAGTGTGTTTCACTGAACATCTGCAGGCTCCAGGGAAGGCTTTGTTAATCAAATTTTTAAGTCTGTTAAGCTTGGGGGCAGGTGGTTGTGCAAAAATTAAGTGGAAAAACAGAGGAAAGAAACCTCACATGATCTCAAATGGGCTTTTTTAAGTAACTGTATCACAAGTCCTGATGTGTCTTTCTACATTAGTGGTATAAAAAGTTACCTAACTTGCCAAAGACAAGTGCAAGAGAAGAAGGAAGGAAAGCATTCCCTATTTTATTATATTTCAATATCTTCTACTTAGTCTTATACAGTTGGTTTTTGTGTTGGTTTGTGTTCTCTTGGTAAGTGTTTTCAACATACACATGAAATAACACAATGCCAAACATATGGATTTTGCTAGCCTCTCTCTTCAGCTACAACACTTATAACACTGGCAGACCAGTATTCCATTTATTAACTAATAATCTACAATAACATAATTGTACCTTCCCTACCAACTGTTTCTAAATAGAAAAACAAAAGCCAAAAAGAGCCCATGTTTAATCACCATTGCCCTCTGGAGCCAGAGTGTCTGGCATTCTTGGCATTGCACTTAATGCAAGATCCATTCATTCATTACATCAGGAATGCCATTTCCAGTGCCATAAGTGTTAATCCATTTATAGACATCTTGGATTAATATAATCTCTCTGAAGTTGAGAACAATATTTCAAATACAGTTCACAGAGATACTATTTTACAGGACAGAGAGACTCATTTTATAAAACACAACACATCTAAACAGCTTTGTAACAATGCTAGAAATAAAATACTTCGACATAAAAGTAGTCAATTCCTAGGGAAACAAACATTCAGTGCAGAGGCATGGAAGCACTCACCACAAAACACCAAGAAAAATAAAGGTCACTTAATTTACACTTCCAGTCAAATTTCAGATGAAATAGCAATGAAAGAATCAGGCAGCCTCTCAGTATTTCAGTGCACAGCTTCAGCAGCAAGGACTCCTGGAACCCCACTAACATTTTTCTGGTACATAAATCAAAGTATCATCTCAATCTGACATTTTTTACCTGAATGTTGAAAATGCAAGCAATCCGGATTGCACATCGTATACCCTCCAAACAAAGAGAGGCAACTTCGGTGTCATCACAGTCCTGTAGACCCACACTGAATGCAGCCAGGAAAGGTGTCCATGCCAACTGGAATGTATGCAAAGTGTTTTATTAGCAATTGTTGGTACTTGAAGGGAATGCTTAATTTCACCATCTTGCTGCAGTGCAAATTCTATTCTTAACTTCATAATCAACTTTGAAGCTGTCTTTTGACAAAAAGGAAACAGAATATACAGACATGAGATACATAATAGTATAGTGTGGTTAGAAGACACATGAGACATAGACTGAGGTAGAAGTAATGTAGAGCAGAGCTCTCCTCAAAGACACTTGTCCTCTCCCTCAGCAACAAACATATAGCCAGCTTCAAATAGTTGTAAAAACCAAACCCTAAAGCTATGTCAATTAGGTATCTTGTACAGTTTTAGCATTTCCAGGATGACTTTTATCTTTGCACACTGAAAAACAGAGTTAACAGTTATTGTGATAACCAACTCACCATATAACAGATTTATGATGAGAAGTACATATTTAAGTAAGACTAGCTTATCCCAATAACACCAGAAAAAAAAAAAAAAAA